TTTTAGTTGGTATTGACATGGCATGTATTCCTCTCAGTTGCTCTAAACCTGCACCTATTTGGCTTTTTATTTCTTTTCAAGGGCATAGGTGAGGCAGGACTTTTCTTGGGATGCTCTGTGTTCTTTGCTTTGAGAGATGCAGTAACTAGTGCGAGGAATGAAAGAGAACTGAAGACAAGCTTTGTGCTGAATAGCCCTCTGACCGCTGAACAAATACGGGCAAGCTGCGCTGATGACTTCACTGAGATGGTAATAGGAAGTTGGGGAAGGGTTTGTTCAAGTATGTCTGGGTAGATGTGCATACTGCTTTTGGCACCCTTGAATGGTGGGGGCCTAATGATGTCTCCAGTTGGTCATGCTTTGCATACAGCAGTATTACATGGCTCCTTGTAATTGAAATGTCTTGTACCAGGTCTCAGACAAATGACTCCAACAAGTGCCATTCAGGCACTGTATTGGAATTCCCCTGGTTTGGTATAATGATTTTTGGGGGGTTTTCTTGTTTTTGTTTTTAATTTACAATCCCTCTTTCCCTGAAGCCCCCTTCTTTATTTGATATGTCAAATCCCATACAGGATTAAATAGCTCCTCTTACTGACATGCAATAGATCAGCCTCCAGGTGTCTTCAGTCTCTTTCCAGGTACTTTTTCCCAGTGTCTTGCACTTTGGCAAGTCATTCTGTCACCTCATTCTTATATTCCTTGCTATGCCCAGGAGTCTTTGTGAAAAAAAGTAATTAACTCAGAGCTAACAAAAGGCTACAGGAGAAAAACAGATGAGGCAATACACTACTAATAATGCCATCCTTTATATTCTACATTTTCTGCAACTGTTCACTGTAGTCATATTCCCACTGCTATTACAATTCTATTTGTAAGCTTCCATTTAGCCTACAATATCTGTGAAGCAAGGTTCTTGTCAGCATATAAATCCCTACTGTGTCCTGAGCTTCTGAGGCTCTGCCATAGAAAGTCTTGAGCTCTCACTCACAGATTACTTCCACAGTATTTCTGTGATCGTGGTGCGGCATCACTGGCCCCAAATCAATAGGATCATGGGCTTACTGTCATCACAGGAGCTTATGGGTGATGAGGTCCAGCATTGCAGAGATCATGCTTCTCCATGCCTGTTTGGCCCTGACACCAGTTTTCACTGACCTTTTTTCTGGCCATTTTCTGTAGATATCTCCTGTAGAACACTGCTGAATGACTTGGAGGCCTGGTAAGGGCAATATTGTAAGCTTGCCAGTCAAATAATACTAACAAGTAACTCTTCGTTTCTTGCTTGTTCTCTTAGATGGCAAACAGCGAATCTGCTTCCTTCAGTCCCCAGGCCGTATCTGTGTGAATGACAACCCAGAGAGCACAAGATGGGAATGGAATGGAATAGAATGGAAAACTGATTTACAGTCCCAGTACACACTAATCAACACACAGATAAATATATTTTCTCATTTTCAGAATAGAATCAGCTACCAAAAATAAGCATATTACATCTTCTATCCTTATCTTCTTTTTCCATCTAGTATATTCGTTACAATAATCTGCTTAAATAACAGCATTTAATTGCTAAAAATACATCTCCTGCATTTGAGTCATATGTATTCAACAAGATTCCCTGAACAGCTCAGTTCAAATGCTGCAGGAGAAGAAAGTTAGGATGAAGTATATAAAGGTATGTTAGATAACTTACTGCCACTTACTACACTTAACAACATAGTAGGTAAATGATTTTTAATGGCTTCAGCTTATTTCCTAATTTACATTTGAGTCTTGAAGAGAAGTGTGAGTGCAAGGATAACTGTTGAAGAATCAGAACCTTGTTTGTTGGATTCAGTCCCTTTTTGATCAGAAGTGACGCCCTGATTTGTAGTAAAGCTGCTTTAGATTCTTTTGACATAGGTATCTTTGTGTTAAAAACATGGAAGAAACAAGTTAGTATTTTCTTTTGCTACGCCAGGCAAATTGCTATGGTTGACCTGCATATTCAGGAGATAATTTTATCCCAGAAGTTGGAAAGAATCATTTAGTGACTCCACCAGAACCTTTCTTTTTCTCATGAAGAAAGCCAAAAGACTCCAAACAGCTTTTCAAATGGGAAAACTCTCCTGGAGTTCAGTGTGCTTTGAATATGAGACTGGATGAACCTGTCTATGGAAAGGACTCTTAAGCAGAGCTTAATCCTGTGCTCAAGACTATATTGAGCCACAAAAGTATAGTTAAGAGCTTTCTCCCTCATTCAGTCACTCCTGTGATAAAGACAGAAAAAACGTAAAGGGGTTAAAAGCTGATCTGCAGTCTCTGATGCTGCCTGTGGTGCAGTAGGATTAGACCAAACCCTAGTAGCAGCAGGTGGAGAAAACACAAAAATACAAAGCAGCACCGTATTAAATGGTAACAAATTCTGGTCTTACTAAATTTGAGTATGTATATATTTGAAACCAAAGATGAGACCAAGAAATAAGATAGAATATATCAAAGTTAATATATTATGAAAGCTCTGGCCACAATATTCAGATTTCAGCATCAGAATCTTCTTGAAGTGTGAAGTTGAGATTTCAGTTCTGAATGCACACACGCACAAATACACAAATCTCCATGGTTTTGAAGTTGGAACTTTGATCTGGAGTGCATCATAACAGAGAGAAAACACGTCACTTTTTCAGTGAGTTCTACAGAAGTTACCCAAAGTAGCACACAAAAAATTGCAGCAGGCTCTAGAACTGAGAAAATAAGTAGTTTGTACATTCAGTGTGTGGTTTCAGTGAACCTCTGCATTAGTTATCCCTTGCTGAGCGTGGTGATTGCTTTTCCAGTTACTTATACAGAGTGAGCAAGAGCCAAGGAAACTGCCAATTGAAAATAAATGTCTCTAATTTGTTTGACATGTCAGCCTGTAGGCTGTTTTCATTTCACTGCTCCTCAGTTTTCCACAGACGATTTCCTCTTCTTGCCTTCCATCTCTTATGAATTGATACTGTATCTGTGACAGGAATCAGGTTAGTAGGTTAAACTGGTTTTGCATTGGCTATTAAAATACAAAATTCTTATTGTTTCAGTTTGTTTGTCTCTCTCTGTAAGCACTATGAGTAGGTGAAATTCAGCTGCTTATGCGTAGGTGTCTAGACCATTTTAGGTGTGATAAGACAGTGGAGGCATAGGAAAGCACAGGACTGGAATACATAGCAACAGGAGGCCAAGCAGGTTATAGCAAGTAATCTGAAGTGGCATTAGAGGTGTGGTTTAAGCAGCTAGAGCCCTCTTGGCTTTTGGTTCTTTCTCCTCACTTTCTTTGTATTACTTTGGCTTTTATATATTGTAAAAAAGGGCAATAAATCAAATTAAATGTGAATCCAGCTACCATAATTAGCTTTTCAGATTTGAAACATCTTCGTTTCACTGCATGGGCTTTTTAATGACAGTTCACAACCCCATATGTCTCGATAACAGCCCCAAAAAGTGGTTAAATCCCAGTATATGCTGAAGCAGGGAGGCATATAGGTCTGCTGAACTGGGGGGAGGGGGGAAGGTGCCTTATCTGTTCTCCTGCGTAGGTGTGCATCAGCACAGGTGCTGGTTAGTTCCACACAAATCAAATCTGGTAAAAATCATGGAACCAACCCTTGCAGGCAATGACACTTCCCCACCTGAGGTGGTGGGGTATTTGGACTTCATCGTGTTCAGACCTGTAGTTTTGTTTTCTGTGGTGCAGATCATAAGTCTGCTTGTCAGTATTTCTCAGTTACTATTGACAGATTCCTCCCTGCCTTTTTACAAGTGAGACTGTTGTCTAGTTGTCTCAGTAAAATCTGTGTGTGTGGCAAACATGGGTTGTTGGGTTTTTTGGGGGGCTGAAACACATTAAGTTACCTCCTGGCTTTTAGGTGTTTGAAAAACTGCATGGAAGCTAGAAATATCAACAATTAAACATCCTCACAGATTACACTATGGCTACATGTGATATTATGAAGTACATTTTCTTATACTCTATAGGTGTTAAAAGGAGGGGTGGCATTACATTTTCAGTACTGCTTAAAATGTGCAGACTCACACATCTGCTAACCTAGGGGGCTAGATTTGCAGAAAGGTTACGACTCTGAAGGCATCGACAGATTGGATGGCTGTTCACACACTGATGTGCACTGTACAGAAACACTCAAACTGAAGATGCTCAAGAAGAGCTTTTTCTACTCATTTTCTTCATGAAAGAAGTGTTTTTGTAAGTACCCACCCTCAGCCTTCCCATTCTGTGTGTGTGTAAGCTTAACCACCTAGCATAAATAGTGAGTCCTGGTTTGGAGGTCTGATACTCTGAAAATTAGGTACTGGTCTGCCAAAATCTCATGCTAGGTCTCATTCTTTCTCAGGCATTTGAACCTGCATTGTTGTACCTACAATACGTGTGGAATACTACAGCAGTGCTGCAGTCAGCAGGACCTAGAGACTGACATTGCTTCAGTGCTTGCATCAGATAGGTCTCAGTCATACATTAGGGGCTAAACCACAAAAGAAGCAGCGTATCTCTGCTGAGAATCATTTTCTTCTCATGGGGAATGGTAAAGGATTTGGGACTGACTACTTTGTCCTACAAGCCTGCACTGACTAAATGAAATACAGAGACCTTTGCTGTGAAATGTACGAAGGGTAAATAAGCCATGTACATATACAAATGGAGGCTTTTGAAAGACAGAGATGTAAGTCCCCTTCCAAAAAAAAAATGAAAAATGTAAAGGCCAGCTGTATTAAAGCATTTAAGGATTAATGACCTTGTTTCCTGGACTTGCCTCCAGAAAAATGGAGAATCTAGAATCTCAAATCAGTGTATCTAGAGTATGGTCATATAATGGTACCACAGCAGTCTGGGTATAGAGCTGGCATAGCACAGAGACAAACACAACGAAATTTTAAATGTGTGTAGTAGTAATCGATTTCATTAAAATTTGTTCACTGCAGAAAAACTCTGTAATCAGTTCACATGAGTAACAAGCTCAAATGAGAAGCATGCTCCACATCTTAGCATCTGACACGCCACAGAAATGGGTAACGTTGCATGTTCTGGGTTCTAGCTTCACACGTTCCTATGTATTCTAAATTCATCAGTTACTGGATAATACAAAAAACCCAGACGTGGCAGTTGTAGCTCAAGCCCAGAAGTCCCTCCTCACGGTTAAGTGCTTTATCTCTTAGGTTACAGGGTTAGAATTAGAGGGGTTCAAATTATTTCAGATCACCCGAGAAGAGTTGGGTGTGGAGTAGGAGTAGAAAGTTTGGAGTGAACATGCATTAATTGCTGAGAAACAGCACATGTCACACTGACTCCTCCCCATCTACTTAATTTGATGCTTAGTCTGAAAACAAATTCTGTGAGACAAAGCAAACTCCGTTAACCTTTGGGAGCATATAGCATTTCATTCATTTCTCTTGATAGGTAAAGCTTTGTTTTTCAGGCTTTACTGCAACAGCGATGGCTTGCCCTCAGCCATCAGATGAGCTTGTCTTTTTTGTGAATGGCAGGAAGGTAAGTCTTTAATGGCTTTTTTTTTTTCTTTTTTGACAGCAGTACATTGCTGTTCCCATTCAGGAAATATGTTATTCTGGAGCAACAGTTTATTCATAAATAATCATCTGTTGTCTGTCTTTGATCTTCCATATAGCATCCTGCTTATCCTGCTTTCTACCGCAGGTTTTACATAGTCTGAGTGGCTTTGTATTACCCATTATATCACAGAGTGTTGACTAAACCCTTATATTAATATACTCCTAAAGCTGATGTAGTTGGACTAAATATATCTCTAGTAAAAGAATATGCTGCTTACTAATACAGTTTTAATAACTCACCAAAAGAAAATAAGTAGTTCTTTTTCTTCTATTTGTTATGTCGAAAGCTCACATTTCATTTTCTAAGACATTTTGTAACCTTTTCTTACTTTGCAGGTCAAGTGAATAAGAGTTCCTACTAACAGACGTATCACCTGTAATATATTATAAGCTGAAATGAAGGAATTTCCTTTGTTAAAAACAACCAAACCTTTCTATGTATTTTTCTAGTGATATTTTTCAGTTGTGCTGTCAACTTTTTTATACTCTAGAAAGAGGGTACTGGCTTTTTTTTTTTTTTTCCTAACAGGTGAATCAAGAAAAAGTAATTCAGTATTTTTCTGTTATGTTTTATCTGTCATTATACGTCAGCTGTGCTTAGAGGCATACACTGAAACCTTATTTCATTCTGCAGTTCCCAGTAAATCCCTGAGCTAATTCATGTTGTCTCACACCTGGTAAACTGGATCATGCTGCTGGCATAGCAGAACTATTGAGAGAAGCCCTGAGGTTCAGCCTCTTTTCATTGTGCAGCTATGGGTCCTAAAAAATGTTTTCAAAGTTGCTTGTATTATGTTACCTCCAAGAAGTTGAAACATGTTGATGATATAGCAACATTCTTGAGATAAGGCTAAATCAAAGCCTGTGTAAGCCCCACTCATACATACTAAACTTCGTTACCTTGAAAATACAGTTATGTATTCTCACTGCTCTTCTTATACTATGATTTTTCTCTACTTCTATGCTGATGGGTCTCTGAAAATGAAGGGGTTAATATTAACTTCAAGGAGGCAAAAATACACAGAATTCTCACATGCACAAGTCTATAGCTTCAAAATGAAGGGATTTGTGATTCATGCTGATAAGAATCAACAAAGGATCTAGTCCAAATATATTTTCCTTTCTACTCTTGACTATGTAGTGCTTACTCAGCCTCTCTTCCCTATTACTTCTATTATTTATCTGGAGATTGTGATCAAGTGATAGGATCCTGTTACTGAACAAACACACCACATTATGCCACAATCGTAGTTCATCATCATAGTTAATCCTTGTGAGATTGTTATATTAGATCCCTCTGTAACCCATAACCCCTTCTTTTATTTCATAATGTAGGTAACGGAGAGGCAGGCAGACCCTGAAGAATTGCTGCTGTATTATCTGAGAAAGAAACATATCCTTTCTTTGAATTTTGCCTTTGAATTCTGTAATTATATAAATTACTGCAACTGGGGATTAAGATATTTCACTTTCCTTTGGGAACCAGTGTAAACAGAACAATAAGTAGAAATAACACAACTCACCTTGTATTTATTCTCAGCAGAGCAATCCAGTGCTGTATGTCCATTGTGTGTGCTAGTTACATGGATATAATATTCTAAAGTTTGGGTATAATTCTTCTAAATACTGGCCAAATCTTCTTTAAAGCTTCCCAAAGCATGAAAAATCTTTCAGTGCACTTGTGATGAAAAGAGTAACTAAAGAAATCAATACAGAACCACTTCCATAGTAAATTATTTAAGCCTCAGTCCTTCAAAGGAGTTTGTAAAAGCTTATTTTATTATCTTTATTTTCTATCATTTGAGACTCTTTAGGATGCTACCTGCTGTCAGGGTTCTATTGACTTCATTGGCAGTTATCTCCGCTAAGAAGCTGCCATGCAGGTTATGTTGTTAAGGAAGTGTGTTTAGCTTTGCTGTTGAGAGCTTTCTATGCTGGAAGAAAACCAACATCAATCTAAGGATTAACTGGAGAAAGGCAGTAGTGGAAAATTATTTATTAGCTGCAGCTTTTTTATTAGCTTGCACTGTACATTGTCCAAGCATTCAGTGGAATTGGCATCTCTGTAACAGTCAAGCAGTGTGATAAGATTAGTTCTGTACTGATTACCAATGGGAATGCACCAGTGGATAAAATTGCGCTGGGTTTAAAAAAATCTAGGAACATGGTGAAATCAGATGGAAAACCATGTAGTAGCTAATCAAAATGGATGCAGATGCACACACTCAGAAAGAGTAATAGGACTATGTATCATTCTGAAAAGGAGCTAAAATGAAAGGAAATAGTAAATTCCACTGGACTGCAGGGCACTATGACATTGGAAGGAGGAGATTGTGATTTGAGTGTGGAGCCTTTATAGAGGCACATAATGGAAAGTCCTATACAGAATTCATGTGTGTGCACTTGGGTATTGTGCTCCATTTTAAATTACTATACCCCTTGGATGTTCAGGAAACAGCACAGGTAACATACTGAGATCTACTGGTACTGTTCTGCAAGTGGAAGATAGAGCTAATTATGTTTAAGGATTAAGAAAGTATGATGAGCAAGACTAGTAAGGGTTATTGCTGTATCCCATTTACAGGGTCCTGATTTCAGTCTTTTGGGAATTTACCAGGTGTTCACTGTAGAGATTGAGAAAGTCTGTATTGGAGGTCTGCCTCATACCCATTTCTGTATCTGTCCTTACCCTTCTCATCTCTTTATGTACTCTATTTTCATCTATTTTTACATGTTTTCTCTTTTGGAGCTATCTGACCAAAGATCCCTCAAATTCTGCACATGCACATAAAACAAGGGAGACTCAGAAGACTATAAGAAAAAAATAACTTCTGAATCTTGTAGATTTTTTTTCTTTAACAGTCTCCTTTGCAGTCCGTCTCTCAGGTACAAAATATGGCTGTGGAATAGGAGGATGTGGTGCCTGCACTGTGATGATATCCACATATGATCCAGTTGCCAAGCAGATACAGTATCCTCACGCCGATACATGAAAATAGTAATGCAGTGTTTCAAGAAAACTGTCATTCAATGGGAAGTACTTGGTTTCTTTTCAGTTGGATGGATTCTCTTTCTCCAGTCTTTGAAACAAAACAAAACCTCAATACCACCCCTCCAACTTTCTGTTGAAATGTTTTAGAATTCTTCTGTATGATTTGAGATTTCAGCAGCCCTTTTTTCATCTGCCTCACCTGTCTCTTTTGTGCTTATTTGAGGATATCTCATTGTTAATAAGTCTTCACTAAATGCTCCATGTAATCATTGATAAAATTTCTGTGGATGTCAGCAGTAGACACATTACATTGTAATTGTACAGTTTTGCCCATAGTGGAGTCAGGAGTTCTACTTTCTCTCCCTATCTCTTAAAACTTTGTTCCGTTAGAAATGCTATGCCTGACTTCATCACATCTGGCTCTAGACTTTGGGTTACAACAACATATGTAGTACTATTTTTATTTTTTTTTACTTAACCTTCCACTTCTTTAATTAGAAAGCTTATCACTTAATGCCTAAACCCAGAGGTAGGAGTAAGATGCGTACTCTCACAGTCCAAGTGGGGGATTTTGTGTGTTTGCATATCCTTCTCCCCATGCCTTTATGCTCAATCTGAGTATTTGTGGATTAGCTGGACTATATATCCTTTCCTTCCTCCTCCATGGACCCATATGACAAAGCTATTTAACACAATAGTTGTCCTTCACATCTCAAAGACATCATCCTGCCAACTCCTGCCTTCTCCCCATATGCACTCTGCATGGTGCTGCTGTCACTACTGTGGAAGGGGTTGGAAGCATAAAGGCCAGGATTCATCCAATTCAGGTGAGTGTTAGCTGGACTATATAGAGCTGCAAGATAATGAGATTTTCCTGTCCTATGTCTGTAATGAAGTTGGGATCTGTGAGAAGGTGCTGAGTCTGTGCAGTACAGAGTTTCTGAAGAGATTCTAGAAACTCTGAATTTTGTCTAATCCTTTTAGATAAGGAGGTGTTTTTAGGAATTAATACAGCAATTGTTGGTTTGTGATTGGCCCTGTATGGAGCATGAAAGGAGCTCCTAATGTACTACCCATGCAGGCAGCACATCAGAATCTCCACAACACAGGGCTAGCCAAACATGTAGGATGCCAACTTTCAGAAGGGGATGGGGAAGAACAAAGAGCATCAGTGAGTTTCATTCACTCACCAGCATGGCATCTGGCCATCTCACTGAGGACCACATCTGCATATGTTGTAGGAAGGGATGGGTGACCCCAGGTGGCAACCAGACTGACAGGTATTAGACGCATTTTCTGTGTGCCAGATTTCCCTTGGATTAGACCAGCTGTTTACTTCCTCCACTCTGGCTTGTTCCTGAAAAGCACAGTTTGACCACATAGATTAAAGAATATTTTCTAAATTTCCTCTATTCTTTTCCAAAGGTCTTGACTGTTCTGTGCTGAGGCTCTGTTTGAGGAGATGATCTGTGTTCTGTCATTTGTTGTTAGAAATATTTAAAGTATAATTGGTGTATAAATTGAAAGTCTTGGGCTTTATTCTGCTCTCATAATCAAGGAATTAAGGTCATGAGGGTCTAAATCAGAGCAAGAATTATCCTTCAACTAGGTGATTGCTCTGAGCATATTCCTTATGAATGGTCATACTGGGGTAGTCAAAATGCTGTTACTGGCCTACAGCTGGTAGGTGATGTAGAATCATAGAATGAGTTGGAAAGGACCTTAAGATAATGTAGTTCCAACCCCCCTGCCATGGGCAGGGACTCCTCACACTAGAGCATGTTGCCCAAGGCTCTGTCCAACCTGACCTTGAACACTGACAGGAATGTAGCATTTGCCACATCTTTGGGGAACTTGTTCCAGTGCCTCGCCACCCTCACAGTAAAGAACTTCTTCCTTTTATCTAACCTCAGCTTCCCCTGTTTAAGTTTATACCTATTCCCCCTTGCCCTATCGCTAAAATCACTGAGGAAGATTCCCCCTCTGGCATCCTTGTAGGCCCCCTTCAGATATTGGATGGCTGCTGTGAGGTCTTCACGCAACCTTCAGCCTTCTGTTCTCTGGGCTGAACAGCCCCAATTTTCTCAGCCTGTCAGTTCCTACAGGAGGTATTCCAGCCCTCTGATCATCCATGTGGTCCTCTTCTGGACTTGCTCCAACAGTTCCAGGTCCTTATGTTGAGCACACCAGAACTGCACACAATACTTCAGGTGAGGTCTCATGAGAGCAGAGTAGAGGGGCAGGATCACCTCCTTCAACCTGGTGGTCATGCTCCTTTTGATGCAGCCCAGTGTATGGTTGGCTTTCTGGGCTGTGAGTGCACACTGAAGCTGGCTCATGTTAAGTTTCTCATTGACCAACACCCCCAAGTCCTTCTCCACAGGGTTGTTCTGAATCTCTTCTCTGCCCAACCTGTAGCTGTGTCTGGGATTGCTCCAACCCAGATGGTAGGACCTTGCACTTTGCATTGTTGAACTTCATGAGGTTGGAATTTGCTACCTCTCAAGCGTGTCAAGGTCCCTCTGGGTGGCATCCCTTACCTCCAGCTATCAGCCAAACCACACAGCTTAGTGTTGTCAGCAGACTTGCTAAAGGCACTCTCAATCCCACTGTCCATGTTGCCAACAAAGATGTTGAACAGGATTGGTCCCAACACCGATCCCTGAGGGACACCACTTGTTGCTGGTCTCCAGTTGAACATTTATCTGTTGACTGCAACTCTCTGCATGCAGCTATTCAGCCAATTCTATATCCACTGGGTGGTCTATCCATCACATTTATGTCTCTTTCAGTTTAGAGACAAGACATACTGAAGATGACTATTCAGAAAGCCAGTGAAGCTATATCCTGGATTCAGAACCTTTGTTCTCTTTTTTCTTTCTCTTTGTTCTAGGAAAGGCTTGCCAAGTGCCATGGTTTCCAGTGTGGCTTCTGCACCCCTGGAATGGTGATGTCCATATATGCTTTACTGAGAAATCATGCCAAACCTTCCATGGAGCAGATAATTTCTGCTCTGGATGGTAGGTTTCTGACAATAAATTGTAAAAAGTGTAATGAAGGGATAAATGTTTGATTGCCAAGGTCGTAAGTATGATTTAACTCAAAAGAGCTGTAGATGATGTTCCAAAGAGGTATTTTGTCATATCCCTGTTTGTTTAAAGACATCTCAAAATCGTAAAAAGGTGGTTCACACTGAAGAGTTCAAGTGGGATACACAGTGGCATTTAGCACTAGCTAAGCATTTCTGAAAATTTCTGCATTTAGAACAGCTCTGCTACACCAGCAGCCTCAATATAGAGCAAATGAGTACAGTGTTACAATGAATACAGGGAAAAAAATAGGTTCTCTTTTGTCTGCAATGTAAATACTCACCTACCAGTAAGATGAGGTCCTTAATACAGGTTTCAGCAGTTACAGGGGAAATAGATTACATGATGTTATAGCCCACTGAAATATTGACTGCTCTTCAAGCAAGATTTAGTACAATAGGTTAAGTGACTTCAACTCACTTTCTAGTCACAAGTTTGCTAACAATTCTATAGCTCCCAAAATAATTGACCTTCCCCACCACAAGATTTTGACTTCATGAGGGAAATGCTAGAAATTCCAGTAAAGAATTTACTACTGCTATTAATTGTATATGAAAACTATAATAGTGATGGATGGCAATAGATTTTTGTTGGATGATAAAATCCAAAGACTGTAGTGGTAGTACTAATCATAGTACTTACTTTTGTATACTTTTCATAATTTTTACATACATTCATAGAAATAGTATTATTAAAAATAGGCTTTAAAACAATAAATTTTAATCATACATAATAATCACTATTGAAGTAATATTTCTTATTTTTACAGATGTAATTTTGCCCATTTGAGAGCAGGGACATAGATTTCATCATTTCATATCTACAGGTTTGGTGCCAGACCACTCTCAATTAGGCCAGTTCTCCCAAACATTGTTCTGGTTTCTTATGGTTGATTATCATATGGTTCGTTTCAGGTAATTTGTGTCGTTGTACAGGATACCAGCCAATTATAGACAGCTGCGCATCTTTTGTTGGGGTAGGTCAATATTTTCAAATGTGTTTCTTATTTTGGGACAGTTGGTGGTATCTGAAAAGGCTCTTCCTCCTTCAAATACCTACCTGGAATCTGGCTTAATTCTGAAATTATTTTTGGTTGAGCCTTTGGAAAATCTACCACTTTTAGTTTTTAAATGTGTTGAGCACTTAGAGCTGCCACTGGCTTTAGGTTTACATGTACCCTTGCAATGCACTTATGGATCCTTCACATCAGTTCCAATTACTTAATTCAGGCACCACTGAAATAATCCATTACTTTATGGATACTTGGGTACCCAAAGGAAACTAATTCCATGAGGCCCTATGGCTTAAGAGGTCTTATGGAGCAACTTCAAGTGACTGAACAAATCTGCTTTGGAACAGGAAGAATCAAAACTTTTACAAATACATCACAAAGCTGCCTCATTGTTTTTATAGAGTAGGATATGATTTCTTTAGGAGCCAACATGTTGCCAGCTTAGAGGTACTGGACAGTGTTGCTTGGATAAGGAAGAATGTGTGTGTACGTCTTCTACAGAAGGTCAAGTAAGTTACATTAGATTTATTATTTTTTTCATTATATCCAGTTTGCTTTTATAAGATTTGTAGAAAGGGACCATCTTGAAGTATGGCAGCAGCTACTTTTCCCTTGGGCATTTAATCCAAGCTGAACTCCATGCTCGCTGCTCTTGGTGCTGCAGAAAGGTAGCATATCTGCATTGCCGTGTAGTCAGAATGTAGACAGATTTGACCTATTTTCCACTGGGAAAAGTGACATTTTGTCTGAAGTCTCTCATCCATACTCCATATTTCAGTGACAGGCAGTGACATTTTCCAGTGAGAGTGTGGATCTCAATATTATGCATTTAAGTCTACTTTGTTTTGTGAGAAAGAAAATTGTTGATCAGAGGCACCTTTCCTAAAAAAGCTAGTCTTGATGTGAAGTTCAACTCCCTTAACAAACAGTACTTCTGCAGCCGTCAGCATGACTTATCTGTGTGTGCTTGAGACACCAACTCTGAATTTCTGAAGATGAAAAATAGGAAAAGCTACTCCTGTGCAATGTCAGTACTTGCAAAGCCTTTCATAAGCATTACTGTGTGTTAGTGTTTCCAAGATCTTCAGGGAAGAAGTGTCTCATTCTTCTGCATTACAGTAATTAATATATATTGGTATTGTTTCATAATATACTCTGCATATGCACATTGAAAAATTACAAGTCACCTCATTTGTGTTTCTTCTGGCAAAGGTTCTGCAATTACATATATAAGGGTACACATAAGGCCTTCAGAAACATCCTCCATTCCCTGTCTTTGTCTTAGAACTTGTCTTCATCCACAGGCAAGAGGAGGCCATAGTGCCCTAAAACACGACTTCGTCTTGCTTCATGATGACTTGAACTTGGATAAATTTGCTCTGATTGAGAATCTTTTAAAAATCCTGTAAAGTAAAATGTCTGTGATGATTGGAGAACAATTCTTTGGACAGTGAAAAACCTTAGAGCCCCAAGGAGTGTAACTGGGTGTGTGTACATGTTTGTGCATGTGTGCATTGTCTCTGCCCCTTTAAGAACTGAGAATTGTTGGCCAGCTGCTGCCAAGGTTGTTTGAAACATGAATCCGGCAATGCAGCCAGTTATGAAACAACACTTATATTTGGTGTTCTCTTATTTGGCTTTCACTGGTTTGCATTCCTTGAGGTGGCTTTCATCCAAGTTAAATAGCTGGTGCCAGACTGTTGTGAAGAACAAGAGAGACCCAGAAACTTTAGCCATTTCATCAACAGTAAGTCAGTAGACTGGGCCACCCAGGGCCAGATTTTATAGTTACCATAGCCATGACCTCTGTGCCCAGAGACAGTGACTGTCTGGAGAAGGGATGAGAGACTTCAGACTAGGATATGTCAATCTCTTTTCCTAGTCAATATACTTGAGACCTGTTGCTGTCTGAAAATAAATCAGTGAGGCAGAAAAAGCTGAACAGTGCTGGTAAGCATGGCACATCCAGATTCTCCCTTCAGGTAAGCTCCTGAGAGCCCAGAAGATGCATAGCTTCACAAAAGGCTATGCAGAAAAAAGACATCTGTAAACAAGTACAAAAAAAGTAATTTTTATAGTGTACTGTTAGCATTCAGCTCTTGCAGTGCTTATGAAAGGGTAAAGAGGCTCTCTTTAAGTCCCATTCTTTCTGACCTGATGGACCTGCTACATTATTTGTTGTCATGCCAAACTCTCTCTGTCAGAAAGCTCCTTAACAGACCCAGTTTATGAAGAGAACATGATTATACCATCCAGCACTGCATTTTCCTACAGGAGATATTTCACCCAATGTGGCTGCTGTACGTTTGCTATGACCAGTTTCAGGAAATACTGCAAGATCTTTCTTGAGGCTTGATCTACTTCAAGCAAAGGCTTGGGAGTTATTAGTATGATAGTCTTCTGTCTTTAGAGCAGTTTGTGAATAGGTAGAACTAAACATTAAAAATCAATATGGGCGTATTGAATTTTTGAATGCAACTCAACATGTGTCAAAACTCAATGTCACCTATGGAAAGAATCTCATCTGTTGACACAGACTTGCCACTTACTCTGAATATATGCATTTTCCCCCCCTCCCTCCTCTTCCCCAAATTTCTTTGCAGATTCATTCAGGTCTTTACAATCCAGAAGAATTCCCATCCATGGATCCAACACAGGAATTTATATTTCCTCCTGAACTAATGGTAGGCCTTACTGACATTTGTTACTGTGCAGGCATGACTGAGTTTCTGCAGATGTTGAAAATTTGATGTTTTTGGTAAATTGAAAGATCTATCCTCAGATAAATGGAAAAGACCAGTTTTAGTGAAACATAATGAGACATTTTAACGTGGATAATCTATATGTTGTCATTACTACAAATAGCTGATGTTTTCAAAAAAGAAATTATCTCTCCAGAACCAGAACTGTATTTCCAGACTTCTCCCAAAAGAACTCCTTAATTAGAACCATTTTATTTTGAACTGGTTGGCCTTCTTTGTGGAATATATTATTTTCCTTGAAAGCTCCCAAATGAGCTTCTCCATCTTTTCTGTCTTCTAATTCTCTGTTGGATTCAAGTGACCACAGGATCCATTGTTTCCTTCCACCTGGTACATAGACCCTGGCAACCTGAAATTGGACTTACATGTGGGAAATGCTGAAGGAGGACAAAGGACAAAGAGGGTTTACTGAAGTAGTCATTGGAGAGTCACAGAAGGACAGATGGAAATTTGAAAGGAGGAGGTGGAAAGTGCCCAGGATCTGCAGAGAAAGGCATGAGAAAAGAGATGTGAAAATAGTAGTGCAGGATTTACCCAGACCAGACTAAGTAGACCCCAAGCAGGCAGGTCCAGGCTGGTTTTTTTAATCCACTCATGTTTCAACAGCTTCTTACGAAATTCCTTGTTTGCACTCCTCTTGCAAATACTTGTGGGCACTTCTTGCTGCTGTTACACAACCACCTACCTCAGAGGCACAAAAGTTCATTTGAATTCAGGGAAAGCATGGCATGGTTCTTTGTATTACTGTGTTACAGAATGCTATTTGCTGCTTTATAAACATTGGTCGTAACTTACAGGTTCCTTCTTTAATGTTTGCTCTTCAAGACCAGAACATGCATAGTCAGGCATAAACTCCTTTATGGAATTGTGAAGTGGAAGGCAGGTTTGTCTTTCTAATACTTGACCTGCCTTTGAGAGACTCATGCTTTACGAATGCAGCTATTACATGGCTGTTTTGCAACTTTTATACTTGCATTGAAGATCTTGGCTAAACTTCTGCTGGTCAGCCAGAAAGAAGGCACTGTTATCTGTTCTATGTGTTCAGACTGAGCTTCCAGGAGTGAACTTTTCCAGGCTACACAATGTTTTTAACATGACCTTGATTAATTATGCTGAGCTTGTTCAAATCCCATTGGAATCTGTTTAAAGCTATCAGTAGATTTAAACAGGTTTGGCATCAGGCCCCATGTTGAGAAATTAAACCTGCTTGGTGATTATGCTTTAAGCATTTGGAGTACTAAAATAAAGCATGTGAAATGCAGCTGTGAAGATATCTAGGCAGTAATACTTAGTAACAAATTCTTCTCTGACAGGAAGGATGCCCACACCACTAACATTATGACTGGTTCCACAGACACGTATCACCTTTTTCATGTTTCAGGCATGTCCTTAACCTAAAATGCCCGTCCATAGTTGCAGCAGTTCTCTGGCTTGTTCACTGGTCTGTTCATTGCATTGTCTGCAAAGACAGGTGTTTCTCAGTGATGGCTTTTGCATTTTTTGAAATCATGATTCCACATGGTACTTGTCAAACATGAAAAGAACATATATGGTATTCTCAGGGAAAAATAAGCATATGTTTACTTTTGTAAGAGAGGAGATGCCTGAAAAGCACTTCAATTAAACAAAAATGTAAATACCAATCAACTATCCCAATGACATAGTAATTCTCAAAAGATTAGACCTTGCAGACAAATTGGAAGTAGGTAGTTTAATTTTAAAAAGACATTTTACATACTGTAGAAATGAGTTTGGTTTAGTAAAGTGGATACAAGACACTCAGCAAATGGGGATGCAGTGATCTCCCTGACTAAGAGAATGGACTTCTTACATTCTATCACATATGCAGTGAGATTTTGGCATCCTCATTTCCCACAAAGTTCAGTCATGCTGGTTTATTGTTTATATCATATACAAAGGGAGTCTTTCAGGATCATCAGAGCAGGAGAAAGGAAAATGTAAGACTAATTGTCTCCTACCACTCATTTAGTCTGTCTCTTACCAAGTCATTTAGTTCATTCTTATCTCATTTTCTTGATCAATAATACAGTTATGATAAAAGCTCAGAGTTGTACAGCACTATAGGAACCTCAGATGAAAAGCCTTGTGAATGTCTCACTGTCTATCATGACACAGTGTCCTACTTAGCAATGTGGTGGTTTATATTTTTATTAGTCAAAATTTCCAAATCTTTGTCATTTCCATCACAGATAATGGCTCAAGAGCAGCAAAAAAGAACTTTGGTTTTCCATGGCAAGAGAACAACATGGATTTCTCCCCCTAGCCTGAAGGAACTTCTGGAGCTGAAAGCCAAGTATCCAAAGGCACCCCTGGTTGTGGGGAACACCAGTGTGGGTATGGAAAGGTAAAAGATCTTTTGACCCAGGGATTATATTATGCAGTAGGCACATAATCTTGCATTTCATCCTCTGGGGATCCTAAAAAGGGTGTGGCATTTGTTTAGTAATACACTCCCATGGTGCGGTACTTGGCAAAGTATCAAAATGGCAAACATGTCTAAAAACTTCAGGCTCTTTCACATGAACGAAAAGCTCTCTATTGTCATCAGATCAACATCCAAAAGCAGCCACTGCACAGTAAAGAGGACTGCCACAGAAAGGCTGAGGTTTACAAGAAGAGAGGTCATGAGATAATCTAGTTACTAGATGTACAAATTAGTTTGGGAATAGTTGTTTTTAAAAGATTGCACAAGAAGAGAAGAAAAGAAGCACAAAAATTATGTAGCTCTTACGGAAAGGTGGAGTGAGTAGCTAGAAACATGGTGGAGCAGCTGTGAAACTGTGTAAATCTCTGCGGCCAGAGGTGAAATATGAATGCAGTATAGGAAAGGACCAGAAACCAGTTCAGAGGAGAAAGGAACAAGAGTCAGGAAAGAGAATGCTAGACATAGGACTTCAGATCAGCCTTTGGCCTGAAAGAAGCAAATGAAGTGGGCCTTGTAAAAGCAGTAAAATGTGATATTCAAGATACTGCACAACAGTAGACTCTGAAACTACTTGGTTACAGTGATTTTGAAGTTTTCAGTCTCAGTGTCAAGGAATATGGTTAATTCTTAAACAGATCTCTGATCATACTATCATACTTTGCCTTTTAGGACTCAAAAAAAATCACCATGGTACCTATCATCCAATCAGTCTTCATCCTGTTAGGATTCCAGAGATGCATGTTGTGAGTAGCACAAATAATGGTAAGTCTTCAAGTTACCTCTACTGATGGTACAAGCAGTGATGACTGAACTTGGATTTTGTATTTTGACACCAGAAGCAGTTAGAACTATTGACTTCCATTCATGTTGAATGTTTTGATTTTTTTTCACTAAGCCTTTTAACCAGTATGTCAGTTTACCTGTGATCTGGACATGATGGATGGTGACAAACAATTTATGAAACTGCTCTGCAAGAATGTATTTGTTCAAATCTCAAATTTCTGTAGACAGCAAGCATAGAGGAAGGCCCTAAGTCAGCTTTCTCTGTTTTATGTTTTCACCAGTCAACTTTTTATCGCAACCATTGATCTCACAAAGTCCTTAGAACATAGATTAGGCTAGAGCTAGTTTTTCAACACAAAATATTCAGGCATAAATTTCCAATTAAAAAAAAATCACAACATTTTCTTTGGAGTAACTGATCTGGGTTCTCAGCTAATAGAAATTATCACAGATGCACTGACTTCACATGGGCTGTACTAATGTCCATTGGTCGAGAATCCGATCTGGTAGATGCATCAACTCCATGAGTGGAGGTGCTACAGCTGTAGCAAAAGAATGAATGCAGCATGTTCCCCATGGGAAATCAAGCTGATGTTTTGATACGATTTCTCTCCTTATGTTCTTCTGGCTCCATGATTCACAGCAGTTGCTGAATTACAAATATTTTTCAAATATTATGCTAATATCAATGCAACTCTGCATTTAAGTAGATCCATCAATAAAAGACTACTCTAGAACATGGCCCTTTTGTTCAGAAAAAAACACCACTATGCAACAGTTGAAGATTTCACTGCAGGCTTACTTCAGTGTTTACTGAAGTCCATAGTAGTGACTTCTCTGATACTACTGGAAGTGTGATCAAGAGTTTGCAGCTTAGTCTTGGAAGATTCAAACAAGTCAGTCATCCTTCATCTTAGTGAGTAAACTGCTGTTCGTTTCTTTGGGGATACACAACACAGAAAAGGCATGTGCATTGGTCTGTGCAAATATGCAATGTATATTCTTCAGGTATGTGTTTATACTAGGAGCCATCACTGAATAAGCAAGTAATATTTGCATTTCTTACTGCATGTAATATAAAACACATTTTGGTGTTGTTTTTCTTTTTCATCCTGATGACAAAATCCATGCACAAAAAGAGGATCTTTAAAGGCCTTATCAGCTATATATTGCATTCATGTTGTGGCCCTGTGATTTCACTGTTTAAGTTCATTTCATTTCAGGGCTAGTAATAGGAGCTGCCTGCTGCTTGGCCCAGCTCAGAGACATCCTGATGGAGGCAGTCACAAAACTTCCCCAGGAGAAAACAAAAATCTACCAAGCTCTCTTGCAACACCTGAGAACTCTTGCTGGAGAACAGATCAGGAGCATGGCAGTATGTATTCAGCACTCACAGTAAATAAACCAACACTACAGACATATATGTGTGAATGCCACTTACATATACCTGGAGAAAATCTGTGTGAGGGTGGGATCATGCCTCACAAGGCTAAATAGTTAAAAACATCACAAAAGTTGTATAAAATAACTGGGAGTCCTACTTTAGTATATCAGGTTCAAATATCCAGAGAACTGTAACCAAAGAAACTCCTGCTATTCCTGCTCATTGGTTGAGCAGAGAACTGGAAGAGGTGAGCAAAGAAAAGTGGGGTTCTGTACACCAATCATACTTTAGCTTGGCTATCAACACATAGCTGTTTTCCCATCATATATTAAGCATCTCTGATCTTGTCCCTGATTTTCCTTTAAAATTTCCTTCTATCAATACCTTGCATTTCTTCCTCCAACTAAGGGAACGGCCATCTTTTTGGGGGGGCAGTTGGCAGAAAAGTAAATCTGGTCTCTCTCAACAGAGATGGTATGAGAAAGGACTTTCGAAGGAAAGAGTAAAGTAAATCACATTGAAAAGTACAAAGGTAGAAATTCAGTTAAGATTGAACAAAACAAATACAAGTTCTTCCAACAGGCCGTTAAGTGAATAAAATGGGATTACGATACATATCACTGTTACATGTAAAAAGGACAAGCCTAAAAATAACCTAATTTTTTGTTAGTCTTTAGGAGGACACATTGTAAGCAGGGGATCAACATGGGACTTGAACCCAATCTTATCAGTTGGCAAATCTGTTCTCAACGTGGCATCAGAAGGTAAGCTTTGGACACCCTGCCAAATATCCTTGCCAGATGGGCAGAGCACTGCAACAGAGAAATACAGATATAGGTAACAATTTTCAAATGAAACACTACTGTGCATCTCCTTGATGAATTAGAATGGTACATGTTGCTGAATAGACAACATTATCTTGGTATTTGCCTGTCATTTTAACTGGCAAAAAGTGTCTGCCAGCAGGAAACAGTCTTTCTGTTTCACAAGACAAAAAGAAAATGTCTAGCAATCTCATGAAAACAAGGTGAGCGGGCCTGACAGGTAGAAAAGTCTCCTTTCTGCACTGCCTCTGGCTAAATTGCTCCATTTATCAGACAGGTTAGCCTTATCTTGTATCTCCACTACTGTTTGCTTTTATTGCTTATCTTTCTCTCATTTTAAGAAAAACTTTGTTTCATTCTCTAGGGTAATGCACCTAGAAATTTCTCTTGAAGTCACTGGTACTTTTGTGCATATGTGTATGCATGTATATACATGGGCATCATGTTTAAATAACACTTCAGTAATCAAGACTAAGCAAGTCCTATCCTTGTCACATAGAATCTGTGGGTACTTTGGAAAATCTTGCCAACAGTTTCTACCATCTTTGAACTGAAGATATACAGGGCTGATTCTCCATCTCAGTACAGTGCTTGATAATTTCTTAAAATCTTATTGTGCTGTAATGATTTAATGAAATAAAAGCTTTTGACCAGAAACAGAATAGCCATATTTGAATTTAAATCACTGTTTTTCTGAATGTTACTGCACTTGTAAGATACACATTTTCTCATATTTTGTGTTTGATGTGGATCTTTAACATTCATATAGGGAAATGTATTGCACTTAACACGTGCCATAAGATTAGCCTTTCCTCTCAAAGGCTAGATCCTGAATGGAATGGGCTGTACTAAGGTCATATTGCCCTTAATATATTCTTTTGCACAGGTTCAATGAAATTTGAATCTGCAATGTAGAAATGTTTCCTTTCTGCTTGACATTCAGTAACAGACTACAGTTTTCTCCAACAGATGGTGAAAGACAGATTCTTTTAAATGATCAGTTTCTTGCTGGCTGTGAGAATGCAGATATAAAGGCCAAGGAGGTCATTGTTTCTGTTCTCATCCCATACTTGCTGAAGGTAAGACCCTTATGTTTCAGAGGTTTCATTCGGATCCCACTGTAGTTACTAGGAATACTTTCATTATTTTCAGAAGGCATTGAAAAAACCAGGTTACTACTGCTTTGGAAGTAGTTAAGAAAGTTACAGCATCTCTCCATCACCTCTTCCACTTGTTCTGCTTCCTTGGGGCTCTTACTATTTTTTCTCTACTCTTAAATATGCACTTGTACCCCTTCCAGACACAGAAATTTAGGCTGCCTGAGTATTTTGAGGAAATGTGTCATATTGTCACACAGTTTTCGGCAATAACACTCATTTCTGGCCTCTTCTCACTAAGTAATTAGCAATTTACACTGAAGAGTCCTGAGCTGTCCTTGCAACTCCTGGCAAAATAAGGTCCTAATTAATGTGACCAAAGGTGGCAGTATGTGGTTTTAGGGTGCTAGGGGCAGAAGAAAGGGTGTCATTGTTACTGTGTTCTAAGATACCATTCTAATGGATGTGAGGAACAGTACAGGGCAAGTAGAGGAAGACCAAGCTACAAGCTAGTGTGCTGTGATTGAAGTCAGTGAGGGAGTGACCACAGGAGTCTGCCAACCTTGACATCAGAGGGTCTGTCCCGAGTAGCTGCCTACTGCAATCCCACAGGCTAAACCTAGGTGGCCTCATGCTGGAAGAGTGCTTCTGTCCATGGCAGCAATGGCAGGTTTCCCATGAAAAATGAGATTCCTATGAGCTCAAAGCCTACAAAAGCATAATCTTGTGTTGGCAGCAGCAACAGTGCTTCTGCTGCCCAGAAACTTTGAGCCTTAGTGGTGATTTGAGAGACAAACAGAATGGAAGAGAAAATTAAGGAGGAATGGGCTAGTTCCCTCCACAAAGTAAAAGAAGAAAGAAATCCCAACCTGCTTTGTCCAGTGACAAGTTGTGCCACAGAACAAAGGCTATCACAGAGGGTATTTCAGAGTCTTACCTTTCAGAGAGAGAGAGTTGCATCAAAGAACAGCAGAGGTGGAGACAACAAAATGAACAGAAGAAAATAGCACTGCTAGCAAACTCAGAAGAGCAGGAAGATTATCTGTCAGCCATCTCATGGAATAACATATGAGATTAAGCAGCCTCACCAGAGGAAATTAACACTGTTTTGGGAAGAGGCTGCTTCTGCCACTCACTTTTGTCCTGAATCGAATTTTGATTAACTGCTGACACAATGAAAAGACACATGCACACTTTTTTTGCAAGACTTGTCAACAGAAAGTGCAGATGGAACCCTGGCTGTCAGTTTTCCCTCTTGCTCCTGTCAGCTGCTGGCTTTTCCTTTTGGGTAGCTTGTTGTGAACATTGCTTCAGTGAAGCAATCTAAATCCCATTGAAAGGATTTTCCATCTCTGACAAGACCCACTGTAAAACATGTAATCCTGGGTTTTACGTTTGTCATGAGAATATCACATACTCACAGTAACAGATCTTATCTGCTAACCCCTACTTTAAAAGTGTTGTGTCAGTTCCTTTCTTGAGGCTACAGTTCTTCAAAGGTCTCATCTGTGCCTGATCATGAAAGAAATTGCTATTATTTTTTCTTTTAAAATAGGTGAATTTGTCCCCAGAACAAAACATTTCTGACAGTAGAAAACCCAACTTCTACTAGTGCCTCCCTCAGTAAATGTCATTACTGTAGCATAAAATGTAAAATCTCATGTGTGTAAAATAGTCACAAAATAAGGTTCCTTAGCACAGCGGGGCCTCCATGTCCTGGAGAAGAAACCACAATTTTCTAAGCTGGAATTTCAGAGAACATATCAGCCATATATGAAGTGCTACCAGGACTGCTATTCCAGCACTCTGAAGTCATTAAACCACTGATAGAATTTAAAATTTGGCATGTTTTCTTACACTCAGATCATGTCCCCTCTTCATATATCTGTCTACGATTAGCTTAATACTTCAAGACAAATAAAAAGTTTACCTGAACCAGTAACTGTAGCAAGTGTTCTTTAAAATGTTGCTTTATTTGGACAATGCTAAAAATCAGAATATAAGGAATAGTAGGTTTGTTTTCTTTCAGTCAGTTTCTGCCATTGATCGAATTTTTCTTTATTTTCCCCATTAGGATGACTTTATTTCAGCCTTCAGGCAGGCTGAAAGTCAGAAAAATGCTTTTTCCATAGTGAATTCTGGAATGAGAGTCCTCTTCAATCCAGGCACAGATACCGTTGTAGATCTGAGTATTTTGTATGGAGGCATTGGCTCAACCACGATTAGTGCAAAAAAGTCCTGCAAGAAGCTCATAGGAAGGTATTGGATATTGTAATGCATTTAAGCAAAGTGCAGGAGTCATGGTGTGATGCATGGGCTCTGTTTGATTCTGCTGGTGGAAATTCTGCCAGGTGGAACCCACCACACTCTCACAATATGTATTTGACCTGTCCTCCCTAACAATAGGTTATTTCTTGATATAAATTCTGCTGATTCACTTGTAACTTCCCACATACTCTACAATAGCTTTAACTGCCTGTTAGTTTTGAATAAGTGTGTACTCATGTTAGTCTGTTTTTCTACCAGACAGTGGAATGATCAGATGCTGAATGAAGCTTGCAGACTGGTGCTGGAGGAAATTTTCCTCCCTCCATCAGCTCAGGGTGGAAAAGTGGAATATAGAAGAACTCTGCTTGTCAGCTTCCTTTTCAGATTTTACCTGGAAGTGTTACATGGTTTATATCAGATGGTAAGGACTGGACAAAAATTGCATACCCACATCAGCATACATGCTGCAGGAAGACCCTGCTTTTTTGAAGATTAAGGGGTGTGAGAGGGAAGAGTAAATGTGCTAGGCTTTACTTCAAAATACATGAGGGGAAAACTTACATTTTAGAAATAAGGGGCTGCCAACGCTGCTTTGACCTTCCTTTCAGTATCCTTTCAGGTATGCTGAGCTCTCACAGGAGAGGATGAGTGCTTTGGGATTGCTACAAAGTGGTGCTCCCCAGGGTGTCCAGATCTATGAGGTGAGGTGTGTTTGTAGCTACAACTGCCACAGACCCTCTGTTTTAATGAGTATTTTGCCCTTCTATCTTTTCACTCCAAAGCCTCTACTAATTGTAATGTGAAGCTGCTGGAACACTTGAGCCTGTGAGAAATCTTTAATATTTTTATAGATTTCCTTTCTTTCAGAGTGCAGGCGCACTCATTGCTCTCAAGGTGTTCTGCAGTATCAGGCTGTCCTGACACAAGCACAGCTTCCGGCTATGCAAGAGCTCAGGAGAATTTAGTTTAACTGTCCACTGGGCCTCAGTACAAATAGAATAACCTACTGCAGCATCTCTGTGACTGTTCCAGCCTTAAAGATTTATTTGAAAAGCCACAGTATGAAAGGTGGTTGCGAAAAAGTTTTCTCAGTAGATTCTTATTAAAAAAAAAAAAAATCTAATTTTCATCAAGAATTTTCAACTGGGTTTTTTTGTTGCAAAATTGAAAAATTTTTTGAATCAAATTTTTCTTATCAGTTTTCCAACAAAAACTTTTAAGCATCCAGCCAAAAAACTGTCTTGTCTTCCTTTAAGAAATTCAGTAAAAGCCCAAACAAAACATAACCGTTGGAATATTTTCAGGATCCCTGATAACAGTTCACATTAACTTGAAACAGACTATCGGCAACTCAACAACAGGGAGCTCCAAAGCTGTGTTATCATTAAGTGTGTCTGAAATGCTTTCAGTTCCAGTCTGTCTTTGAATTTAACTGGCAAACAAATGGATTAAACCATTTTTTAGTCTTGTCAGTGCTGCCCAGAATATTAATCTACCTGTCTCTTAAAGGAGATAGGCAAGAAGGAGTTAGAGTGATCACTGAATATAATGCTGGATTTAGATACGTTTTCTCCCAAGCAAAACAATGTGAAATATGGTTGTTTGAAGCAGTGGTGATGCTGAGGTCTGTATAAGTGTGGCTTGCACAAGAATGCTATCAGAAGTAGTGTGGACCCATCAGACAGACTAGCTGTAAGATCCAGAGGATTTTAGTTCACCTTTGTCTGCTGTGGTTCCACTGCATGAACTAGTAATTTTGTCCCTTTTACCACTGTTTTTTTTTCAGTTTCCCCCCTATTTATTTGGTGCAGTATTTCTGCAGAAAAGACTGCCATTACTAGAGATGTGAATGGTATCTAATGCGGTATATTTCTCAGACCTGTCAGGGCACTGTGATGCCAACATAGCACAAAGTCTAAAACTGGAATTAGCCCTTTATAATGTGTCCCGCAAATATTGTCATGAATTCTAGATGATTTCCACATGGATTTTATGATCACAAAATATGCTCAGAAGTTGTTTGAGTAAAGCTTTCTGTAATTACTGTTCTGGCTCGCAGATAATACGTTCTTATTCTTGCAGGATGTTGACCCAGGACAGTCTCCACAAGATCTTGTGGGCCGTCCCATCATGCACCAGTCTGGTATTAAGCATGCCACTGGTGAAGCAGTTTACACTGATGACATTTGTCCAGTGGATGGAGAACTTTCACTGGCTGTGGTCACCAGTATTAAAGCCCATGGAAAGATCATGTAAGTAAGAAAAAACTATAAGCATGTAAATATGTTAATACGTGCTTTCTATTCTTATTGTCTGATACGACAGTATTATGACTTATGTACTATAAATGAGGTAAGGATTTCTTTACTGCAAGCTTTAAATAGTGTTAGATATGGACAGAAGAGTCCATATTAATGCATTCATTCCTTTTAGTACAAAAAATGTAGAAAGAAAACATATTATTAGAGTTTGTATGCACTGGAGCTAGAATTTGAAGAGCTGTTCTATGCCATGCATACACAGATGCCTTCTGTTTCTTTTTTCTCAACATGCTAATCAAGACTTTTACACTTTTTTCTCTATGTAGAGGTCTGTGGTGAGAATACCAAGTGGGATATGTTTATCTCCTGAAATTCGTGAATTACTTTCACTAGAGACAATTTCACCATGTACTGTACTAATTTATTTGCATGTTCTACTTTCCAGATCAATTGATGCATCAGAAGCCCTTCAGGTGCCAGGAGTGGTTGATGTTGTGACAGCAAGAGATATTCCTGGGGAAAACGGCAAGGATGAGCAAGCATATGCAGAAGATAAGGTATTTCTTGCTTCTGGAGGAGTGTCTGGACCTTTTGCTTTAGATATTTACAAAAAAGGAAAGTGAGTTTGCACATATCATCTTATTGAAATGAAATGAAATGAAATGCAAATGCAAGAGCTATTAATGCAGTGCCAGCCAGACTGGGCTGAACAGAATTACCATTCCCCAGTGAGAGAGAAAGGAATAACTCCCTTAAATAACTTGGGATTGAAATAAGGCAGCCATGTTTCCCTAAGGGCTGATAAACAAGTTATTGTAATGGATTCTGAGAAAGCATGAAATAGCCGTGGCATTTGAGATTATTTCAAAGATGAAACAAATTAAATAAGAATTGCCCAGCTAGAACCAACATGAAATTAATTGCCAGGTTAAACACTAGAACACAGCAATGTGAGACAACACTGTTTCTTTTTGTTGAGCATCAACAGAGCTAAGAAATTTATAGGATCTATGCAGCCAGTGTGACTATACAGAACGTCCCAGGCCCCCAGGCTGTGTCCATCACAAGTGACACTGTTGCAGGGTATTTGCAGTGGGACAGGCATAATTCCTAAAGCATTGCTCTTACATCTCTAGTCCTTCTTGTATGGGTTTCTTTCATTTCTGAGTATAGGCAAGGAAAAGCAGTCAGTGCCAGACAGGACAGCACAGTATCTGGCCAAGGATGAACACAGGGGAAATGTTAATGGCTACTAATGTCTCCAGGATTTTTAGTGGTAAAAATGTTGCAGCAGATGAAAGATGCTCTTAGACTTCTCATCTAATGAAGGCAAGTCTGCACAGGGATAGTATTCCTAGAGAAACAGAATATAAAAGTGGTATTTGAGGAGAATCTATTTCCACAAAGCACTCTCTGTACTGGAGCTTAACCACTCTGTGTTTTTTAACATGGGTAATACATTGGTGTGTTGCAGGTGATTTGTGTTGGTCAGATAATCTGTGCTGTGGTTGCAGAGTCACTGACTCAGGCGAAGTGTGGGGCTGAGAAAGTGAAGATAGTGTATGAAGATCTGGAGCCAGTTCTGACCATTGAGGTAACAATGTCTCCTCTTCCATGTCTGATTAAGGTCTTAAGTTACCTCACTAGTTGTTTACCTCCTTACACAGACCTTTGCCATCCTTTGGAATTTTCTTTTTTCCTTCTATTTTGGTATGAGATATGACTTTATTGGCTCTGAAGTGCGAAAATTTTATAAATTGAGTCCAAAGTTTTGATATTGGAAACACAAAAAATATCTTACTAGGTTCTTATTCATTCAGTATATTGGAGACTGGTCTCTTTAGATCTAGGACAAAATTGCTAAAGAATATTCCAAAAGTTTTAAGCGAGCAATTCCATGCCTCCAGGAGCCAAATTCCCAGCAGGAATAGGTGAGTATAGAACTACATTTGAGATCTTATATTCGCGGAAGTTCTAGAATCACACATTCTGCACCCAAGTTCTGAAAATTTTCAAGTCTGGCAGGTTTTGAGTAGCAAGCAGTCTGATTCTGAAATATTTTCAACAGCTCTGAATTCCATTAACAGACATGAAGTATTTCTAACCTGGGGGAAGAAGAGAATTATACAAACTACAAAAAATCAAATAAACAGAAGCTCTCTGATGGTGGAATGACTCTCCTGGTCTTTCTAATAGTCACAGCTGCGTGTCTATCTGATAAAGGATCATATGAAAGATTGTGCTATATAAATATCATATGACTTTCTGATTTACAATTAACGTTCTGTTTGTGGATGGGTTTTTTTCTTGCTGCAGGATGCAATAAAACATAATTCATACATTACTGAAGAAAGGAAAATAGAAAAAGGAGATATTGAGAAAGGATTCAAGTCTGCTGCTGAAATCATAGAAGGTATTTCATATATGTAGTGCATCAGGCAAGGGGAGGAGAGTTATGCTAGTCCAGAATCTATTTCCAGTTGGTCACTGGAAAAAACAAAACAAACAAAAACCCCTTTGTGGTTGATTTTTTCCCATTCACTGGGAATGGAGATAAAATGTTCACATTTAAATGAAGTTTACTAACAACTGCTAGCTCACATTGACTAAACATTATAGCTAAATAAGGCTTTGTTTATGGGTGTTGGCTAATTTAACTTATCCCATTCTAATCTGACTGCTTGATTTAGGGATAATCCCAGAAACAAGGGGATCAGAGTAAACTCCTACAGTCAACAATTTTACCATCTTCGAATAGCAAATGTGATCCAGTTGTCCGAGAGTATACTCTCTGCATAAATACCAGACCCGTATTTAAGAAGTATCAATGAAGAATGTTCCAGAAGCTCCTATTGTAGTTAGTTCTAGAATTTAACTGGCCTTATAATGCATTTTTCCTAATAAGTAGTCTGAATCTCTCTTCCTGCAAACTGTAAAGGTTCACCCTAAACAGAGTCCCCACAGAGTCCTTATATTTTTCCCCATAGATCACATCTGCTAACCTTTATCATTGTCACTGCTCAGTTCTCCACTATCTGTAACTTCACTATATCTGACTTCACTATGGTAATACTTCAGATTAAGTTTCACCAATGCCAAGTGGCGTTTCCCAGAAATTCCATATAACATGAGTAACACAGAATAAGATTAGGGTTGTTGTGGTGTTATCGATTGGTTATAGAGTCAAATTGTGCTGCTCTGTAATCCCTGCTTTAGGTCTTGTTCAATAGTGCTATCTAAAGTACTGGCACTTAACCCATAGTGAACTTCATGGCATTGACTTCAGGCCATTTTCCAGTGTAGAAAAAACACTTTCAAATCTCAATCTGTCCTTTAAAGGGCTTGCATCCCTTTCCAGTCCGATATTATTTGTAGTTTAATTATTAGTTATTAAAGCAACCATGGGGTAATATTAGTGCCAGGAATGACTCTTCTATGATTCTATGTGCATCTTCTTTGCAGCTTGACAGCCAGTCCTGCAAACTCCTTTCTGAGTGCAGTTTTCAACCAGTGGTATCCCTGATTTTATTTGGACTGTACTTCTAAATTTGTTTATAAGAGTAGTCTGTGGGACAGTGTAAAAGACTTACTAAAATTAAAGTATATGATACCAGGATCTGTTTCTCTTAACATTGCCTTGGCCAGTTTTAATACTTCCCCTAATTCTCTTTTTCTAACACTTGAATGCAGTTCTGAGATTTGTTAGTGAACACCTTATAAATGCTTGGACAACTCATGTGTCCTGTTCATGTCCTTTTCCAATTGTCTTCTCATGACATGTATTATCACACCTACTTTCTGCTATTATCATTCCCTAAATTTCTGCAGCTGAGTTTTTCTCTTCACTGAACGCTAACTACACATGAATTAACACCTCCATGATCACAGGAGGGAATGTAGCAGACCCTTCTGCCCCTTTGTCTTTTTCCAACGTCAGTTCTATCTAGTTTGAAAGAACAATCAGATTTATCTCAGTTCTTGGAGACCTTTCAGCATGGAGACTCTGCATCCTCCCCAGTTAATTTTTTCCAGTACTTCACCAATCCTATCAGTAGGACTGTCCTCATTGCTAACAATTTGCTGCAATGTAAGTAGTACTGTGCTTTTTGTTCTTACTGTGAGTATGAAACACAGACTGTACTTTTCCTCTTTGCAGGACTGATTTGAAGAGTCCTTCACTTTAATGTTCTGAGGCCCTTCAGTTCTGTCAGTCTCCTCTGCTCTCCTTTGGACTTTCTCCAACTGTTCCCATCATATGTCATGTCACCCTCTAGTGGCTTCAGTTCTGATTCCTACTACTTCTCCATGAACATGTGTTTCAGGAATAACTGCTAGGGAAATACTGTCAGACCAAAGGATGGCATAAAGTTAAGGTTACACAGAGAATTTACAAAATTAGCTTTCACACTGTGCTGACAGATTTCCCTCTTTCTAAGAAAAATGGTACAAAAGTAAAGTGTTGCATAGAAATAGGTAGGAAAAATGTAATAGGAGAAGGGCATACTGATGGAAAGAAGGTAAGAAAGGAAGAGGAAAGCTGTATTTTCCCTCACAGCATGATTCAAAAGAAGACATTATAATCCTATTATAGTAGAAGAGATGTAAGCTCCTAAAGAATTAAAAAACACAAAATATTAAATTGATACTGATCTTTTTGGGGTGGGGGGAGGGAAAGCTATACAGGGATTAGGTGATTGACTATTTTCCTCTTTATTTGTTATTTTTCTGTTTATTAAGAGGAAAATAGTCAATCACCTAATCCTTAGCTTTAAACCTAAGATAGAAATAAATTAAAACAAACAAGCATGCAGAACACAGAATAAAGCGAAAGAAACTACAAAGAAAGCTCAACTATTTTTCTCTGTTTTTCTTCTGTGACAATTTTCTTCCATGCCATATATACATTTATGTATATGGGCAAATACAGATTTCCTTGCAGCTCATTTGAAACCAAGCTTACATTTTCCTATAATTATATACATAACAGGTGAATTGCACACAGGAGGACAGGAACATTTTTACCTGGAAACAAATAGTGTGCTTGTTATTCCAAGAGTGGAGGATAAAGAAATGGATGTGTATGTGTCAACTCAGCATGTAACAGATGTACAGGTAAAGCAAAGTATTAATGATTACTTGTTTCTTACCTTCCTAAGTAATCTTAAAGCTCAACTGTATGGCCAGGTCTTATGATTTTCCCAATTAAAATTAATTGATTTTGATGTTTTTATGAAAATAAATGTCCTGACTACTAATGATGAAGCTAGATGGAACTAGCTTTCTGCGCAAGCAGGTCTTATGCTATCTGTATTATCCAATGAAGTGCAGACACAAATGAGCAGTATTACTATGGGATGAACAAAGGGTATCTTGGATAGATAATATGGCTGTAGTTTTCTCGTTGAAAGAAGACTAATTCTTTCTTAGATATATTAGCCAAATCCTCCCAAAATCAGTGAGAACCTTCAGTGCAGTCCTGGTCAGTCACATTTTGGCAGCAGTGAGTGTCTTCAGCTTTAGAAAGAGTACTCAGAAAGTTGCATTGCTCGTATGAATAGTTCCATTGATGATGATGGGGTTATAATTATGTGTAAATAATTATAAATGAATAAGTAAATAATAACAACATACAAATCATATGAAGTTAAGGAAAAAAAAAGTTAATAGGTCCTAGCTAACATCAGAATTGGATTGTAGGCCTGTAGAAAATAATAGCTGCAAAGAATGTGCGTTAATTCCTACATGTTTCACTCTGTTCCATTCAGCTTGATATTTTAGTGGATGCTTTCTCTCCAGCTACAGATGAAACTTGCAGTTCTAGAGATTATCATATCTGGCATTAGATAATCAAATTAGTTTATGGACCTATTTTTACATTTTCACTCTTCTGTAAAGAGCAGATTGTGCTTTCACCAGCATCTTTACCTATTTGAAATCTTTTGTTTGTTTCTTTCTATAGCAGTTCTAGTTTTCTGCCCAGGATTCTTAAACCTGGTCAGAAAACTTTTCCTAAAAGTTTTTATATAACTATATACTAAAGCTTTTAGTATATAGTTAGCCATAGGGAATAGGCATTTTTAATATACTTTGGGAGGTAACAATTCTCAGTAAAATCCTGGATATTCACTTTTGCAGGAATTAGTGGCTTCAGCTTTAAACCTCCAGTCCAATAAAATTATGTGCCATGTGAAACATGTTGGTGGAGCATTCGGTGGGAAGATTACTAAACCTTCACTCTTTGCTGTAGTTGCAGCAGTGGCAGCCAACAAGTAAGTCGGTTTCATCAAATGAATGGTTTAACTAAAACAAATTAAAGATGACAAGACTGAATGAAAAAGGAACTTCAGTCCTGAACCCTACCTGGGGCTTATCTTTTTTCTTCTCTTTGGCAGTAAATCTTGGGTAGAGGCTTGGAAGTCCTTTGGGCTTTTGGTAATAGTATTCACTTTTAGTATCTGAGAGCCAAAAAAAAAAAAAGGCAAGGAGGCAGTTTCTCTTAGGGCTGAGCTGTACAAATCCCAAACAATCAAGCTTTTCCCAAGCACAGTGGCTTGAATTTCACTCTAGATATTCAGTGAAAGGTTCTTTTTTACCCCAATACATAGGTGTGCTCGCATGAGCCCTGTGTGCCACAGCTCTCCTTTACTCTGACTTACTTGCCATGTCCTGTGCATGCTTCATAGAACTTGCATCTCCCTGTTGAGAAGCTAAAGAGAAACTGCTGAAAAGGTTGTTTTTTCTGCTTTGTTTTTGACGGGAAAATCAAAACCAAGTTAAAAATCTGCTGAAACAGCCTAAACTCAGGCATGGTGAAAGTTTAATAAGTTTAACAAGTGTAATAAGAAACTAAAGCATAGAATGGACTGATTTGTTGCCACCACTAGGAGTTTGGCCATGTATGTGTAATGTTATTTGCAATCTGCATGCATAGGATATAAGAAAGGTGGATTTTTTTTTTTATGTTCACTTTAGGACCGGGCATCCAGTTAGTTTTGCCCTTGAAAGAAATATGGATATGTTAATCACTGGTGGACGGCACCCTTTCATTGGAAAATATAAAGTAAGTGAGTGAGAGAAGATATTTTGCTCAACTACTGGGTAATAGTTTATTCTGAGGCAAATCAGCATAATTTCATTGACTAACAAGATAAATTCCTCCTCGTCTGAAATCCTAACTGAGCACCAACCTTGCCCAGTCCTAACAGCACCCTGACAAATGCTACAAATCAAACCAACAGCTATCACCATATTCCTACAACCCAGGCAATATCCACAAAAATCATGAATACCCATCCCTTTTCTTGAAAATACTCCTAACATCGGCTCTACCCCATGTAAATCAGAATTGAATACAAGCCACTTCTCAGATATGAAGCCAGCCCTGCAAGGCAATGCAAGATTCAGCTGGTAGAAAAACTCTTCCTTTTGCCTTCTGAATCCTTACATTAAAGATAATTGGGTAAACAATGCCAGCACTGAAGTCAGCTCGGCAACTGCTAGTAGCAGGGGCAAAAATCTTCTCTTTTGTGTTGGTGTACGATTTAACAACACTAAAACCCTCCAGGACAGGGTTTAGAGTCCAATATGGTTTGTGTAAAGAAAGCTGAGGAATTGGTTTTCCAGTTCCAATAGCTCTTGCATGAGCTGTAGAGTTTGGCTGATGACTGTTTCTGTAACCCCAACCCTAACATTTCCTTTACTTAAATGCAATAACTGCAAAAAACTGCATGAATTGCTTAACTACATTAAGCCAAAACCACTCTCCCCATCAATCCCATCTTTTCTCCTATCCATGTACGTATGCAGGATTTAGCCAGCAATAATATTCATTATTTCTTATTTTCCTTATCCTTAATCCTAATGGAGCTGCATCAGTTTACATAAGTTAACAAGTTGGTCTCCAGTTATTTTACAGTTTTCTCTGATTGTTCCCCTTTAAATAGTATTACATAAACTACTAAAAAAACAAACCCATACATTACATTAAAAAAAAATAAATTTAAGAGGAAGGAACTAGAACTAGAATTCAATCAAATTTGGTAGTTATTTCTGAACATGTAATCTGCAAAATATACGCACCATTGGTTCATGTTCTTATGTTGTCTGGGTGATGAAATCATCAGGATGAAAGATGATTACAAAAGGGATACTCCAGAAAGTAGAATAAACATAATAATAATTAATATTTTCTCCAGTGATATCGTCATCCTCTTTCTGGTCTCTGTTCATACAGAAAACAGCAGTGAACAAGCTTTTCAGATTCTGAGTACAGACAATGTCTATGTAAAATAGCTTTGTGGGTAGCTGAGGTATTCTGATGATTTGTGGGGTTTATATGTATTTTACTCTTGGTTTGCATATTCAGATCCAAACTGATATCATCCTATAGACAGAAATCCATGCTGGTGATTTTTTTTATAGTTCACTGGAAAAAATGCCATTGTGTTCTGTAGTCTGAACCTCAGGTGGTATTTGTTAACCAGCTAGCCTATTTATAAAGAGAAGTTTGAAATACAAGAAACGACCCCTAATGCTTCGGTTGATATATTATAGGTTGGATTCACAAATGATGGTAGAATTATAGCTGCCGATTTTCAGTGCTATATAAATGGTGGCTGTACAACAGATGAGTCTGAATTGGTAAGTCCTTCTTCATTGATACCACTTACACTGACTGAACTGGTCACAAAAAGAAAATAACAGCTCTTTGCCACAGTATCTTTTTATTAAGAACATGTCTATTCTTGTTAACTACAACTCCCATCTTCCTAAAGCAAAAATGCATCTGTGGCCCAGAGGTTGATTACAGAATATTATTAAGGGGTGTCCTGGGTTTAGCAGTGGCAGTCATTTTTCTCTTTCTTGGTAGCTGGTGCAGTGCTGTGTTTTGACTTTCAGCAGGGAACAGAGCTGAAAAACAATGATGTTTTGGTTTGGCCAAGGACTCTGTGGGCCTCATGCTCTGCCAGGGAGGAGGGAAGCCGGGAGGAAGCAGAGACAGGACACCTGACCCAAACTGACCAAAGAGGTATTCCATACCACAGCACGTCATGCCCTGGATGTAACTGGGGAGTTACCCGGAAGGGCTAGAGTGGACTGCAGGGTTGGAGGAGGTATTGGTCGGTGCTTGGTCGGGCTGGGGAGGTGAATTATCGGTCACCTGGTGATGGGGTGTTGTATTCTCTTCCCTTGTTATTTCCTTTATCATTACTATTATTGGTGGCAGCAGTAGTGATTTGTGTTATACCTTAGTTACTAAACTGTTCTTATCTCAACCCGTTGGAGTTGCATTCTTTTTGATTCTCCTCTCTGTCCCTCCAGGAGTAGGGGGAGGGCAAGAAAGGGGGAGGAGTGGGTAACAAGCTGTCTGGTACCACGACAAGGGGGTACAGTATTTCCTGTTAGGTGATATTGGACATAGAAAAATCAGATTTAAAAGTTCAATGAAGATAGTAAGTTTTATTATGGAGCCTATTGTCATAAGGTTACTTCTTCACTTCCCCAAAACTGAAGGTCTGATTTTTCCCTCAGTAATTCTTCACGCTGTTGTAATTCCTTTAAGTTAAATGCAGTTTCTCAGATTCAAACACAGTTTCTTTACTTAAATTGGTGTAAAAAACAGCAGAACAACAGGCCTTCCAAGTATCGTTCTACTCTTCATTGAAGTAATTATTTCTCTTTGGTGTCTTGAGTGTTTCACAAGTTTCACTGTCTTCTTAGAGGAAATTAAGCCATTTGAACAACTATAACCTCTTATTGCAGCTGATTGAATACATTGTGTTGAAAGTGGACAATGCATATAATATCCCAAATCTCTGAGTCAGGGGCCATGCCTGCAAGACTAATTTGCCTTCCAACACTGCCTTCCGTGGATTTGGGTTTCCCCAAGCAGGTCTGTTTATGGAGACATGTATTGTGGCTGTGGCAACCCAAACTGGCCTACCGCATGAGAAGGTAAAAGAACTGAGACTGCCAAATAAAAAATGGGATAACAGAGAATTCTAGGACCGAGACTGGTGGAAGCTCCTTATGCTTAAGCCAGCTCTTGTAGAAGCAGATCCACCAACTTTACTTGGGCTGAATAGTACTTTATGCAGCACCTATGCATCCATGGAATACTACTTGATATAATACAGATAAGAGTGAACAGGTCCACAATCTCTTGCAAACTGTTTGATGACTGCTATTAGTAGGATCAGCTTCAGTCAAAACAGTACCAGGCTGACACTTTGATTTCTTCCCAGCCTTCGCAGACAGTGCCCCAACAGTTTGAATTGCTGTCCTTTCCTTTCCAATCTTCAAGAGTTATCCTCTCCTTACATGCTGTTTAGTCCAGTGTAAGCTTTTCCCCTTTTGTATGTGCCAACCTCTTCTATATTAAAACAACAGTTTATAAATAATTTTACTTTCCTAGGATGCCAACCATTATGTCTTTTCCCTATTTCTTTGAATCTTATCTTTCCCATTTGCTTCGTCTCCTTTACCACACTTCAGGAAAGATTTCAGACATATCTCCTAAAGACAAACAGTTTTTTAGCTTTAACTTCTGCTTTCACTAGTCTTATTTACAATTTGAGTTTACCAACCTTCTTTGTGTTGAGTAGTCCTTGTGAACAATTCCACTGTCACCACTTAAGTTCATAGGCATTTGATGCAAGCAAAAATACAGGCCAATTGAGCAGGGATTTCCTTAGAGAAATGGATATGGCATTATGTTTAATATAGCTAAGTATTCGTTATATTATTGCATTATATCACTATATGACATATCATTATATATATAATATGTCAATATATTATACGGCCATATTGATTTTCAGTACTGTGTAAATTTGATTGCTGTTTAGGTTAGGGAAATACACATGTACAAAGGAGTTAACCTAACATCCTTCAAAGAAGAGTTTAATGCAGAGAATCTGTGGAAATGTTGGGAAGAATGTTTGGACAAATCTGACTACTACAACCGAAAGGCAAAGGTGGAAGAATTTAACACAAAAAATTACTGGAGAAAGAAAGGGATTGCCATCATTCCCATGAAGTTTTCTGTTGGATTTAATGCAACTTATTTTCATCAGGTAACCCCTTTGTAACAGTGCTTTTACAATCCAAGGTCCCTACTTTTCTTTCAAAAAATAGAGGAAGCATAATCTCTACTGGAAGGAAAGAGGAAAGGACTCCAGCATGTTGGACTAGTATAAAATATCATCTACTGAAGTATGCTTTGTTTCAGAAAGAGTATCACTCTCTCTGGCTGGTATCTTTATAAACGCGTACTCAGCATTAGATAGGACTTCCAGCAACCTGACTTAGTGAAAGATGTCCCTGGCCATGGCAGGAGCGGGTGGTCTAAATGATCTTCCTTTGGCTGAACTAGATTATCTTCCTTGCATTGAAGGTCCCTTCCAACCCAAACCATTCTATGATTTTATGAGTATTCACCTCACAAATATGTGAAATTTTGATTGCCATCATGCTGTCTTCGTTCAGATAAAAGCTAAGTAATTCACTGTAAAAATGCGGTACTTGGAATCTTCCACAATCTTATCCATAGTAAGAAAAATTATCACTCCTATAGAGCAGATAGTACCATATATATATGATAGGTTAAGCTCTACGACTGGAAGTTTTTATAGGTCAGGGTGGTGATGTCTTTGTGAAAACTTTCCAGTTCTTTTTTTTTTTTTTTAATTCATGCTTTGAACCAAAAATTCATTCAAATGAGTTTCAGATTAAATGAACAAACATTAAATGAACAAACAATGCATGGTTTGCATGTCAGTTTTTTATCCATTTCTTGATTGTTTCTGTTCAAGTTTGTAGATTAACAGCTCAGAGAAAGATTAATATATTTCATATGGCAATGTTCTCATGGTAAAAAACATTGAATCTAGGAATCAATTCATCTGATACAAAAGTTCAGGAAAAGGCATAAACGATAGTTACATTTCATCAAAGCCTTCAAAATAAAGCTCAGGTATTGCACTGAGTTTCCAAAAAATTTAGATCTATATCTTAGAGGATAGATTTATTGTCTAATCTTGTCTCTGTCAGCTAAGACTCTAACTGGCATCAGCAAAATGTTAGCTGATTGCAGACATCACAGGTTGGCACCACAGAGGGTCGCATGACCATTATTTCTCAATGTAGAATTAATAACAAATAAAAACATGTCCCGGGGGCACTGTATTTCACAACACCTCTCAGGCTCTACTGTTTGCTTTCTGAGTACTGGTAGCTCATTGCATTCTACAGTGAAATGTCTCTACGGAATTTCTGGTTTTCTTCCATATCCACTTGCTCCTTTATAGTAGTGGATGGCTTGTACAGGATGATTTCTTTCATCACCACCCATTGGAAAGTTACTTGTTGCTGATTTTACCATGAATGAAAGTTCATTATTTCCATTCCCATTTGCTTCTTGCATTTCCGATGTTTAAGATAGCTATATATCAGCACAAGGCTGCATCAAAATATGAACAGAAAGTGTATCAGATTCTAAATCATTCCCTTGACAGCCTGTAAGAGAGAATGCACGAGCAGTTGTGTCATCACTCCATCAAAATTACACACTGTGAACACCAGTTTATTATTACTCTGTATGAATACATGCAAACAAAAAGGACTAGGACTAATCTCTCAGTTTCAGAAAAACAAAAGTACAACTCTGCTATTGTTTGTTCTAAAATAAAAGTTCTATAGGTGTTCACAGTAGAAGATGCCTTGCCATCTGTCAAAATGCCTTTGATTCAAGGTTCAAATTCTGCTCTGTCCTCCTTTTTGTTGTGGGTGAGGGAATAGTATCTATGGCTACGCATACATTACAATTGGAACCAGCATGTTCGTAATTCACCCAATTTCCCAAGAAGAAAAAATATGCTTTTCTATTATTTAGACTAGTTACTGTGATTGCTGCAGAACTCCATTGAATAGCTACTACCTCACTTATCCTGTCTTAGAGCAGTAAAATTTGTTATTGTCAGACTGCTGGAGAATTTCCACTCCCTTTTAACAATATACTGATTCTTGTTGATTAAATCTATCTTTGCTTTGTTCTTTTTCTTATGCATCTTTGTTCAGTGAAGCAAGAAAATTACCAAGTTTCTGTGGCTTTTCTTTAGGCTGGAGCTCTCATCCATATCTATCTAGACGGGTCTGTGCTAGTCACTCATAGTGGAATTGAACTGGGACAAGGAATTCACACTAAGATGTTACAGGTGTGTTAGTTTGCATCTGATGGCAAATATAAAGATAACAACTAAAAGGATGAAGGGCACTTAGTTCAATAGGCAAATTCTATAGACATAATAAAGCTAAGTTTAATATTGGGTTGTTCCTTCTGAGTTACTGATGAAGACAAAACTTAGGAAAAATATAACTTATAAATGAAGTGATCTTCAAAGACCTGGAAAGATTAACATCTCTGTGGTAACATCACTGATATCAGGATAGCTAATGACCCTGTGTTTGTTTGCAGAGGGAGTTAAAGTGATGAATATTTAACTTTGTAGAGTGTCTAACACCAATAATAGCACCAGTTAATTTTCATGCATTTCTGGTGTAGTGATAAACAAAACTCTGTGCCAAATGGGTCATTTTGGAGCTAAAATTAGGTCAATCCTTCAAAATGAGCTGAATGAATATCTGAATATTAGAACACCATAAAAAATGATAAAGTGGGAACACAAGCTAACAAAGCCATTTCAAATGAAATTGAAAGTAAAATATACAGATAAGATTTGAAACTCTGTAAGAGAGAGTGATTGTTTTTTGATTTTTATTAAGTTTTGCATGTGTAGACAAAACCTGATTAGAGAGAACAATTGTCATCATGGCTTGACTTCGCGAACGAAGATTTGGGAAGGGCTTTTACCCACGCTTACTACAAGCGCGCTGATGACTAAGAAGGCCAATGTGGGATAGGCAAATCCGGCTACAAAAAGCACAGCAGAAGGTCTCCTTGGGTGAAACAGGTGGGGCGCGATTCTTCCTGCGTTGTCTTTTCTCCTCGAGACTAGTTCTTCGTGAACTCTCAAAGGAGTCAGTGGCATTATGTCTGGTGTGCCTCCAAGTCTCCCGATTGGAGGCCAAGGTGGACCACTGATGGTAGTCAATATGGCCAAGGCTAAGGTATTGTTTCAGAGAGAACAATTAATTAGAGCCAAAACATACAGTATTGCATGGTATTGTTTTATCTTCTGTTCTATTAGCTGAATTTACTTGTAAAATATTTATTTTACAGGATAATTGTTAAAGAAGACTTCTGTGTTTGTCCTAGTCACAGTATTACTGTTGAATTAGGTCATTTCTGTGTGTGCATGTATATAGAAAGAGAGATGAATGGCATGATGAATTCCTGACTTGAAATTGCATCTTCAAGTGGGACTGGCTATCTTTTTGTTTACTTTTGTTACTGATTGTCAGTCATGAACTGAAGATACCGTTGTCATATATACACTTCTCTGAAACAAGCACAACAACTGTACCTAATGGAAAATACACAGCAGCATCAGTTGGAACAGAAACCAATGCAAGAGCAGTCCAGGTTAGACTTATTACCATTTTTTTTCACATAATCAGTGGTTCTGTTGAATACTGAATGTCCCTATGAGGACTCATAATTTTGTTTCAGTTTTGAGCAGCTTGCAGTTCTTCTATTGCAAAATCTCTCTTGATTTATTTTCCATGCACAGTTTAAAACAAGGCAAATTACGGAACACTGTTAAAAAGGGTATTTTTTTTTCTGCTTTACTGTATCAGATTTATAAATGAAGATGGGGGGGTTAGATTACCAGTAGATTAATTTATGGATATTTACTTCTGTATTTACACACAATTTAAAGGAAAATGTAGCATAAGGTATGTTTCAGTTATTTTTTTAATTGTTAGACTGAAACACCCTTATCCTCTTACATCATTTGGGACCAGTTCTGCTTTAATTTGTTTTGTAATAAATCATTCAAGCCAGTGGTTTTCTATCTAGCAAATCAAAATAGGAGGAGAGTCAGGTCCCTTATCTGTTTTTGTTGATGGTTTCAGTGGTAGCCTGGTATATGAATACTTAAGTTACTTCAGAGAAGATGCCAATGCCACTCTTTACTAAGTGCTGCTTTCCAGCTGGCAGTTTGCAGAGTACAGAAACTGTAGGTAAATGAACAGAGTTACAGCCCTCAGAATGAATTTAACAAAGTAACTTCACTAAGAAAGAGCCTGTAGTGTTTTGAATACAGCAGGAAGACTTGGGTTTGTGGGTTGGTCAATGGTGCACAACCTTCTTCCTCCCTAGGATGCTTGTCAAACCCTTTGGAAGCGTCTGGAGCCTATACGAAGAGACAATCCTAATGGCAAATGGGAAGACTGGGTAAATATGTCTCTCTGTTTATTACTATTAAATTATGATAAACCCATGAGTGTACAATGAAAGCTGTCATTGCTCTGGAGAGAGGAAGGGGCCTCCCTGCATGAAGTGAACCACATGAAGGAAGAGGATAAACAGGGTAAAAGCAAGTGGTGCAACACAGTGTCTGGTAAATCTGGCCAACTTCAGAGATTTTGCAATGTCCCCCTTCTCAAAGATATGTTCAGGGAACAAGGGAATGTGAAGTTTTAACTTAGGCTCTTTTTTTCTTTAAAATGGGTTTTTAAAGCTTTTCCTTTAAATATGAAGCAAAGAATTCTTGATTTTCTCTCTGTAATAATGAGTATACCTTTTGCAGATCAGTGAAGCTCACAAGCAAAGCATCAGTCTTTCAGCTACTGGCTATTTCAAGTAAGTAAAGCCATTAGTTTGTTTTAATTTCTCGTCATCACAGGTGCTACTTTGTCAGTAAGTTGCAGGAAGGATAAAACTGTCCCCATTCAACCTTCTCAAGGCCATATCAGATGCAGCACACAAACCATTAAAAAGCTGGACCAGAGACTGCAGTGTCAGATAAATTCTTCTCTTTAACCCATATTGATTTTAGAAGCACTTTATACCCTTGGTTAGCTATTTTGACAGTTGATGCACGATGTTCTCCAAGGTCAATTACGGTAGGACACAGGAGGCCACAACAAATTTTGTTCCATGGCCATCACGGTTTGCAATCCTCCTATCCTCCCAAATTATTCCACGCCACAAATATTTAGCAGTGGTGCTAGTCTTTGACTACAGAGATCCTATGAAAATAGTTAGTTTAGAGAGTTTATGTCATGACTCAACAGTGAGGACAAGGATAGATGGTGGGGCTTTTGTTGATCAAATTCATTTAACCTGAGGGATGTTCTTACTTCCTCCAGAGGTTATGTAACAAACATGAACTGGGACACACAGAAAGGCCATGCGTTCCCATATTTTCTCTTTGGAGTTGCATGTTCTGAAGTAGAAATTGACTGTTTGACAGGAGCCCACAAGGTAATGTCAAAAAATATACTGAACTTGAAGTAGATTTGGCTGAATTTTCCACCATCACTATATTTCCTATGATACGTTCCTCTACACAAGGAACTTCTGTTCAGGTGACTGTGCTTCCACACTCACAACAAAGCATAGGAGGTGGCTAAACATCAAACAGTTAAGTTTCTATAGGAGAACAAGCAACAAAGCCATTCTTGAATTCATGATCATCCTGTTACTTGCAGGATGTGCACAGCGGATTCCAAGTTTCAGACAACCACCAGAAATGCATCTAGATAAGATGAACTCTCCACCAACACAAGCTTTCATATTTCAGAATAAATCTATAATAATTTGTGATATAACATATTTTATGGGTGAGACTATATATACTGTTTATGATCCCTTTGTTGTTGTGTATTTTAAATATAAGTCTGTAACACACCTTTTATTTGTTTAACAGAACATCAGAACAGACATTGTCATGGATGCGTGTTTTAGCATAAATCCAGCTATAGATATAGGACAGGTATGAACTTCCGTAGTTTTGCTGTATATTAGATGTTGGTGAACAGTTCTCTTTGTGCCTAAGTGCTTGCTGTAATCAGTCAATTTAACAGCCACCAAAGCCTACAAGACATTATCCATTAACACTCAAGGATGCTGGCTTGACCGATGTAGTAGTAATTGCTTTTATTTGCAGCTATAAATAATACTAGGTTAAGTTTTCTACTTTTTGTTTGTCTTCTGAGAAGAAAAAAGCAGATCCCACAGACTTTGGAAATACCCTACAGGATTAGCATTCTGAGTCTCCCTGTGACTTTTTCCTGAAAAATTTACCCCAGAATTACTGACTGAGGGCTAAACCTTAACCAGCTGCAGAGCGCTGTTGACTGTGACAGTGTTGGCTGTGTAATGGAAAAAGCTACTGAGATGTAACAGACCTTTCCTTAAAGGTCTATTATAGCCACAGATTTGTATTATGGATTCAACTATCTGTATCTCCAGACAAACTGAATAATGACAAAAGTGATGTCACTCACAAATCATTTGTAAATAAGAAAGCAGTGGTGAACTCAAGAGTAAAAAATATTTGTCATTTCTTTGCAGAGTCAAAGGAAATGCTCCTAAAAATATGGCCTACATTTAAAAAACCCTTTTTATCCAGCTTATTTATCCTATTACAGGCTCATCCTCATATATTTGCCCTTTGCCTAAAGGACTGTGCTCATTTTGCACATTAAAGGATTGTCAAATTTGTCAAATCGTTCTTTCTTAGCAGTTCAATTCCATGTTCACCTTGCATCAGTGTTTACATCACTGCTGTCATAGCCCAGGTGTTTACTCAGCAGTTGTTCCTTCCTACTTCAGGCTGGTTTGTTACTTCCTCTTCATATCCAGCTTACCATTTATTTGTGTATGTGATGTTTTTCTCTAGAATAAATTTCATTAGCTAACTCCAAATCTTTTTTGAGCAAATATCAGATTGAGCAGACTATTTATGTCAAAGTCCCTGGGCGAATGTCTCCACACTGGAATTCCTGTGGATTTGACTCAGTTCTCTTTGGCAATTTTGCAAAAGCAAATCAGAGGTAACTGTACTAGCTATGGTATAGCTATATTTAGCCAGGAATAACGAAGAGTAGAATGAACTTGAGCCAATGGAAATATTTGTGTAAGTCAGATGAGGACAGCTTGGTGTTACTTTGGTCTATGTTGGCTTATTTTTACTTTTGGAAGGAAAGATATCAGTTCATGTGTAATCTTAAAAAGTCTAATTGTATATATGTTTCTGTGTTTTAAAATGACTGAATAAGATGTAGAAGTTTACCTTTTTTTTTCTCTTTGCTCAGATTGAAGGGGCCTCCATCCAAGGAGTTGGTCTTTATACATTAGAAGAAATCTGCTTTTCCCCAGAAGGAGAGCAGCTAACTCTTGGCCCAGATACATATAAGAGTCCTGCTATCTGTGACATTCCTGAGCACTTCCGTGTCTATTTACTGCCAAATTCACACAACTCGATTGATATCTATTCTTCCAAGGTAAACACACCAAATTTACCATTTGCAAGCACACCAGGTGATTCTGCTGCAAAACTGTAAGTGACTGTAGTGGATGGTAAACTTTTTTTTCCCCAGAAAAGATAATTCCAGTTTCAGCTATGGAACAAATTGTACTCAAATGGTAAAACACTGATGTTCTGAGGCTTTGGAGTGATTTTCTTCCTATGATTTAGTGGTATTACAGTAGCACTTAGAAACTAATAAAAATTAAAGTTTTTTTGTACCTACCTGTTTTACTATATATCAAAAGTGAAAAACTCCATCTTGAAGAGTTTAAACTGACTAGATAGGAGAAAGGATGAAAGAAGGCAATATTATGATCCTTTTTAAAGGCAGAGAAGTCATGAGACAGATTAAATGACTTTGTAGACTCTCACAGGAAACTTGTGACAGGTATGGGAATAGAGCCCAGTTCATCTATTAGCCACAGCAGAACACCATTCTTTGTTTTCAGGGTGCATCATCCTCTGAGGAAACACTCAGTACTGGGATTGAGCATTGTTCATAGATTCAAAATGAAAGCAAAAAAAAAAGCACCTCAGAATAGAAGGGGAACTAAAAGGGTGTGTAGGCCTCAGGCTACTAAAAGACAGGAATGCCCACTGTCCTACCTTTGAATCTAAAGCAGGTCTGACAGCGTGTTGTGGTTTAACCCCAGCAGGCAGCTAAGCCACACTGCCACTTGCTCGCTTGCCCCCTGTGGGATGGGGGAGAGAACTGAAAGGGCAAAAGTGAGAAAACTCATGGGTTGAAATAAAGAGAGTTTAATAGGTGAAGTAAAAGCCACGCATGCAAGCAAAGCAAAGTATGAAATGGAATTAATTCACCACTTCCAATCAGCAGGCAGATATTCAAACCATCTTGAGGACACCAGGGTTCTATCACCTGTAATGGTTACTTGGGAAGACAAAGAGCATCACTACAAACATTCCCTCCCCTCTTCTTTTTTCCTCCCCCAGCTTTATATGCTAAGCATGATGTCATATGGTGTGGAATATCCCTTTGGTCAGTTGGGGTCAGCTGTCCTGGCTGTGTCCCCTCCCAGCTCCTTGTGCATCCCCAGCCTACTCACTGGTGGGGTGGAGTGAGGAGCAGGAAAGGCCTTGACTCTGTGTAAGTATTGCTCAGCAGTAACTAAAACATCCGTAGATTATCAACTCGGTTTTCAGCACAAATCCAAAACACAGCTCAAATATGAGTCACTATGAAGAAAATTAACTCTATCCCAGCTAAACCCAGTACACAAAGGAATAGAAATTTCCAGAAGATATTCCATGCCATATTCTTATGGCCTTAGGTGGTGTAAATGAGCAAACTAACTCTTTACATTAAGAAAATAGAGACAAAGAGCACATTTCTTATCAAAATTAGACAGCACAAACTTTATATAAGAGGGCATAAGGCAGCAGTAGAAATGGGTGTATTTCTTTCTTTCTCTGGCTCATCATACAGAATTAATTCCACTTGGATATAGAAAAGGTAGTTTGAGAAGTCACGACTTTATTTCATGGCTTTATAACACGAGCACTGAAGTCCTAGCAGGAAGCTTTGATAGTGTAGCTGTATTGTGAATTTTAAAACTATCTGTACCCGCCAAATCCTAGTCCTTGACGGTTTTCTGATTTGAAAGTTGTCAGAGATCCAAGGAAAGTTGTTGAATCCAAATATGATGGACATGTCCAGATACGGAGCTGACGCTATTCAGTGTATTTTGATAACTACAGCAGAGATGTGCTAATCTCTACTGTCAGTTTCTAAAGCCAGTCTCTTCAGCTGTCTCTCTCCTCTGTCAGGGCATGGGAGAGGCTGGATTCTTCCTGGGCAGCTCAGTGTTCTTTGCAATATGAGATGCAGTGGCTGCTGCACGGAAGGAAAGAGGACTGCCCCTGGACTTCACACTAAACAGCCCCTTGACTGTTGAGCAAACTCGCATGGCCTGTGCTGATGTCTTTACTGAGATGGTAAGGCTATTTTAATTCCTTTCATGAGCTAGCTCCTCCATTCTCTTTAATCTGAATGATCTGTGCACATAGACTGATCAGTGAGCAAAATCTCTTTTCTTCAACATACCACAGTTAGCAGAGCTTTGCTCAGCTATGTTGACAGAGTAACATGAACTGACAGTCTAGAACTAAGGAACCTATGCTATTTCCTCAGTGCTAATGCCTCCAATTTACGTATCTCCTTTAATCTAAAAGCTCTTGAAAAGACTTTCAGATTATAGTCTTCATATTTAGTGTCACTTTATTTGCATCTCTGTTAGAAATTATGATGATGTCTAGACACAGAGTAGGTGTGCTCTATCGTTTGTCCTATGCCTCTGGTCTAGACTGATTCCACTTTGAAGCATGTGCCCCAGTTTCCTTCTTTTCTTCCTTGAAAACTAGGGAGCTGGAAATACAGGCTGATAGGCATCCATGTCTTCTTATAACATGGGGTTAGAATACAGGCTGGGTGCAGAAGAGCACTCCCAAATAAAACATTTTAGATTTACATTTCTATGCAAGCATCACCACTGACAGTGGCATAAACAGAATCTAGGGGTGCAAATTTAAGATATTCATTGTAAAGGCCTAAAATGTTTAGGTCCCAGTTACTTCATATAAGCTCATTTTCTGTGTCATGATCTGAATATTCCTAGAGATGCTTTGGTGAACACATCCTTGATTTTATAAAAAAGAAGAGGCTAGCAATGATTCTTCCCATTGTACAGTTCATTTCCAGCTGGGTTTCTGAGAGCCCTCCATACTTCAGGTCATGCTCTCTCTTCTTTGTTTTGTGGAATGAATTGATGTTCAGGAGATGCTGAAATAATGGGGCCTAAGGAGGAGAATGGATTTTAGATATCCTGACGTTTTTCCTTTGGGAGCCTGGAAAACAGGAAGCACCAAACCAAAATGGCAAGGTCCATTAATTAAAGCTTTCAACTTAAAGAGCCCCATAGACCTGAGCCCAAGCAACTGCATTGTAGCCTCAGCTGAAAATTTCTTTATGAAAAGGAACACAAGTTGGGTCAGGCAAGCCTGCAGGCCCCTATGTCTTCCAGTGGCAGCCAGGTAGAGACCCCCAGATCTCAACCTACCTGGAGGCTGGGATTGTGAATTCCACATCCACCCACTTCAGTTTCTTTCTGTGCAGGATATCCAGTGATGAAGTCTTTAACAGTGAAAGAACTTCTCATATTAATAAAAGTCATAACTGAGATCAAGAGCCTTTGTGGGCTAGGTGTTGCGCAAACACTTAGTAACAACTTAGATTTTAAATAAAGGTGAAGTTGTTACCCAGTCATTAGGAGCTGATGTTCTGTCTCCAGGAATACTGTCAGAAATGTAGGATCTCCTTGCAAACATCATTGGTTCCATGATTTAATGCGGTCTCATTAAACCATGTGGCATAATGGAACCTCATGTCAGTTCCTCTAATCTCAGCCCTTCAGGCTGTTAGCTCACTTGTGCTATGGACATATGCACTTAATTACCTGTTCAATTACAAGAATGCCACTGTTGACTAGAGGCAAGTTGATTTATTTCACAACCTTTTATAACATGATAAAGTGGGGATGTGTGTGCAGTGACATTTAAATGGCTGACAAAGCCCATGCATTTGTAAATTACAGTAAGTTTCTGTCGTGGTTTCCTTTCCTCTTAGCAAAATGATGTTGTTTTCCTTAAATTCTCTTTCAGATTCCAAAAGATAAACCTGGAACCTATAAGCCATGGGCCATCAATATATCTTAATACTGCTTTCCTAAGTACCAAGCAACTAGGTGACTCCTTCAGCCACTTACTGACTGAAAGCTTTCCTTCAAGAAAGAACTGTAATACTTACACACACCAATACATATATATCTGTCTTTGTAGAATGAGAACAAGCACCAGTTCTCTTGTCATGCCATGTAAGAGACCTCTTATTCTGAAACATACATTTGTTTCTAAATCAAACTGTGTTCCATGCTACACTGGAATAATTCTGGAGTTACCCCACGAACTTGCAAGAATTCACATGCAATTTTGACAATACCTGCAATAAAGAGCAGGTCACAAATAGTACCATTTTGCCACTTCTGCATCTAGTCTGAGATTCATAACTGTTGTTACCCACTCTTTCTGTTCTTCTGGTACTTGAAAATCCCGAAGATCAGAATTAGACACTGTACAAACTAGTGATGAGCAGTATATCAAATATATCAAAGTTACGGTAGAGCAGAAATGCCAAACGTTTTCTGGACACTGCTGTATTATTATTACCACAGTGACCCCAGAATACTGCAGCATACCTCTTTGCTTCCTGGCAGCCCATCTCAGACCTGCTCCTTACCACTAGTTCTCTCTGAACCACTATTGATGTTGACTTCTCTCAGGGCTGGAATATAATCATTGCTACTCACTGCATTGTCAGCATTCACTCCTCTCCTTTGCTTTACCCACAATTTTGCTGCTTCTTTCCAGTAAAACAGTGAAGAAGGACATAGCTGATGGCATCTGTAGGTAAGGAGAGAGCACAAGGTGAGGGAGGTGTACTGGGGGTAGGAAGGGTTAAATAGCAGAACAGGTTCCAATACCACCTTTGAGTGAAGAAGTGAGGATTTCTGGGATAACATAAATCAGTAAGCAAAGAGATAGAGGGATAGACCACCATATGTGCAAAACCTCATAGTCTTCTTATCTAAAACATTCATTTTGAAATAGGCTTGCTCATTGCAGCCATCAGCAGCTATACATAACAAATATGCAGCAGGTGTCTTAGATAAAAAGGTGGAGGGGAAAAGGGCTAAGAGGAAACAACAACAACAGAAGTTCATCATTAAAAATAGGTGTGTCAGCTCCCAGTTTAACTGTGCCAAACAACACTACTGGCACTCTGGCAGACATTGCTTTAGAAAAGAAGTTTAAAGTGATGCTGTGGCAGCTGTATGAATCTTGATGGAGCATTTCCCTGTGAGGAGACTGAAAAGAAAATGCAAAGATATTTGAGAGGGAGAAAAGGAAATGGCTGAGCTGATCCAACCTACGTTTACATGCAAATTTGTTCAACTTTAACATTTGATAGGTCAAAGCAATAAAATTAACAGTAAGAACACATTTAATGTCTTTGTGTATCCAAAACACTAGCATAAGAAATAACTGGAGATACTCAACAGGTATTGCATTAGTTCAGATCCTGGACTCATTTACATAAACATAAATCTGGACTATTTTCATTTATTTTAAGGGTGAGATTTCAGGCTTAAATTAGCATGCTATAGAAGAAGTATGACCCTCAAGTAAATCGTATTTAACCTAAATCTGTAGAGGTGCTCCAAGATTTTATTTCTTTACAAATAAATTAATATTACAAATAATGAAGAAATTGACAGGTTATGTTGGTAAAGGTTTCCTGTTCATTTCTCTTGGTAAATTGTGAGACTACAGCTAATGCGAAAAGCTCAGCTAGCAATATGGTTTTGCAATTTTGGAATATCAAACACTTCAAGGAGCTGGCAGCAGGAACTATCATATCTTTGTGTTCTTTACCTTAAAATGCAGTTTCCCTAACATGTGATTTATCTTCTTGTCTTCTTATTTAACTGTAATTTAGAAAAAGGCTCTCCTTTTAGAATGAGTACCAAAGAAATCAGTGCCTTGGATTTAGAATGAATGAATAAATACTAAGGTGAATATCTTCCTTCTGAATGTGATCTCCTTTTGGGTATTTTTGAATGTGCTATTTTGGGGATTTCATTGAGCTGTTAAACAGGATTTGCTTAAATATGTCTTCAATAAAAGCAAACTTCTAAGACATTGTCCTACTATTTTGTGGCACTGTGATCTATAACCAATATTGTTTCAAGGAGAAAAAAATAGTAACAAAAATGGTGTGAGATGAAATCTGGCTCCTACTGACAATAAGAATGGCTATTCTTTGAGCTTAAAGTTCAAAACATGTGACTTGGAAAGTCTGATGCTTTCCCATTAATCTGGTGCAGTAATGAATTTCACAGCAACAGACACACAGGAGTTGGGGTTGTGGGCCTTGGGGGTCTTTTGGACCAGTGATAGCAGGGGGGAGAACTGGGACTTCATAGGCTGAGTGTCTAAGGCCAGTTACCAGAGGGGTCCTTACTGTGTGTATGTGTAACTCTCCATATATTTCCCAGTAATGGATCTTCATGCTAGTCAGTCAGAGGAAAACAGGACAAGAGGATTGGTGCTGTCTGTGTCTGCATGAGTGCAGTGTTTCTCTGTTAACCTGTGTGGCCAGCTGTATTTTTATCTATGTATGTTTTACACGTGTTTGCATGTTTGCTTGTTAAGAATACACACTCACCCTTGCTACTGGTTGGACCTTGGGGAATAGAGCTACATCAGCCTCACCTCTAGTGTGCTGATGCAGCCCCTAACATATTCATCTAAAGAAATTGTATTTACTGCAATTGAGGCTCTCAGAAGCATGGAAAAGTCATCTTGTATGACTGAGATAAATTGTTTTGTATTTCCAGGTACAAGTACAGTCATTCTAGCTCCAGAAAGGATGATGATTTCATATATTCATGTGTCCCTACATAGAATCATAGAACAGTTAGGGTTGGAAAAGATTTTAAGATCATCTAGTTTTAACCCCCCTGCCATGGGCAGGGACACCTCACACTAAACCATATCACCCAAGGCTCTGTCCAACCTGGCCTTGAACACCACCAGGGATGGAGCATTCACAACTTCCCTGGGAAACACAGCAAGCATAGGCTTACTTTTTCCTTACTTTTAAAGTGTTCAGGTTTTTATATACCCAGCATATATGTCTTGCAGAATGAACAAAATATTGATTTTACTACTTCCAGTTTTACTCTAGTTTTAACCTGTGAGGGTAGCATACCTAAGTGAATGCTGGGGTGGGTGATTGTGCGATGCCTGTAGTCCAGGCAAGAACAGACAGTGGAAGGTCAGCAGCCTCACTGGAGATACGACATTACTTTAAGATAATCAGTTGTGTACAACAGCAGATAATCAACTGAGCAAGATGGCAGGACCAGTTCTGTTTGGACCAAAGAATTTTACAGATTCTTCTTTTCCAAGTTTCAAGTGTAATGGCTTCTACCTCTTGTAGGGATAGATAAGGAATGCTTGTTTGCTTTCCTACATATTGCTGTGTTAGGGATAAGGTTTTCAAAGAATGTCTAACAAAAAAAACCCGACCAGAATTGGTGTGTTCCCCTGTTTGCAAGTGGCTGATGCAGATTACTTGGATCACTGTGCAAGAACACAGGTAGTTAACACTGCTCCTTGCTTTCTTCTGAAAACTACAGTTTAGCTGAGAGGTGCAACCACCTCGCTGCTAGGCCACACAAGACAAAGATTCTCAGCTGAGGAAGCAGGTTCTTGGGGTAAAACAGAAGTAGAGCTGGGGGTGACCTCAATTAAAAGGTCATGGTCACACAGACGGCCCCACTTTTCACCACTGGAGCACAGTGACTCGCTCTGTTTATATACCTGGTAAGGGGACATTTCAAGAGCTTTAGTCAAAGGAACATTACACTTTACACCTGGTGGAAATTTGGCACCTGTGTAAGGGCTAGAGGGATGCTTCTGACCCCTAGGTTAGTTTAGTGGTTTGCTTTTTGGGGGAGCAAAGAACTGAGTTGCAATTGCATCTCCCTGTGTGGGGAGGATGCTGCATGTTGCTGTATTCTGGATATAACTGGAGAAATCTACCTGGTAGACATGTCCAGTTACGTGCTGCTCTGTCAGTTTGGCAGTGAAAGGGTGGTCAGGCATTGGAACAGGCTGCCCAGTGAATGGGGGAGTCACCGTCCCTGTAAGTGTTCACAAACCATGAAGAGGCCCTCAGTGGTACGGTTTACTGATGGCATTGGCAGTCCTGGAGTAATGGTGGGACTTGATGATCTTAAAGGTCTTTTCCAACGTACTTGATTCTACGAAAGGCTGAACGTGGGCTCTAAGGAGGCAACTTGGTGGGAACGGGGCTGAGCACAGCAAGCAGTTATGTTTGGGGCACCGTGACATCTTCCCTAGGGGCACGGGCCCTACCCACCGCAGCCGCACGCAGCGGGATGCCCAAGCCCCATCCAGCGCAGGGCTCGAACCTGCCCGACACCTCTTACCGGTCGGACTAGAGGCCAGAGGGCAGCCGGCCCCAAGGGGCCCAGCCTGGGACACGCGGTGAGGTTGCCCCCTCGGGGCACCGCCTACTGTCGCCAGGGGTCGCCTCTCCTCGCGCCCCAGTCGGACCGGTCCGCGCTCAGCCCCGGCACGGGGACGCACTAGGCGGCTACTGGCGTGTGACGGTAAATCACGAGGGCGTGGGGGGGTGGACGCGCTCATTCCTGGAATGGGGGGTTCGAAGGGAGAGCTCCACGCATGGGGAAGGGGGAGCGCCCCGGGGAGATGAGCGTCGGGTGCCGGCAGGTTCGCAGCGCCAGCAGCGGGGAGCAGGCGGCGCTGGAGGAGCCCAGCCTGACCCTGGCCGTTTCCCTCGAACCTCTCTGGTGGAGCGGGATCGTCCGTCCCGGGCGGGGCGGAGCACGGCTCCTCCCCTCTTCCTCTCGCGTTGGTTCCGCTTGTAACGCTCTCTTCCTTGCTGCCGCTTCTGTTTGCCGCTGCTCGCGCCCGTCTCCGCTCCGGGCCGCTTGGGCGTTTTCTCTCTGCCTTAAAGTCGGTGAGGAGAGGGGCCGGGCCGGGCAGGGGCAGCCGCGGGGGCAGCCGCGGGGGCAGCCGGGGGGAGGAGCGGCCGGGTGGGGCCGGCTGCCGCCACACGAGGCCAGGCCAGGCCGGGCTGTAGCGGCCGCGCTGCACCTGAGCGGAGGCGAAGTGGGGGGACTCAGTCTCCATCTTCCCCCGCACGGGCACCGGAGCACGGCGGCAGCAGCAAAGCCTCCGGGCGGAGCGGCGGGGATGAGGGGGCGACGCCGCCGCAGCGGGCTCCGCGCAGGTCCCGCCAACGCCCTGCCGCCGCCGCCGCCTCCGCCTGGGGAGGCTTGGGCCGGGGGCCTGCGCCTGCCCGCCAGCGGCGTGTGCTGCGGGGAAAATGGAGGTCGGCCACAGCCAGGGAAGGGGAGGAAGGAAGGGAGGGAGAAAGGGAGGGAGGGAGGAGGAGCGGCGCGGGGGGTAGGGCCGCCTCCATGCTCCCGGGGCGGGCGGGCCCCGCCGTGCGCGTCCTGAGGGGTGTTGTGCTTCCTTACAGGGTGTCTTTTATGAATAATCAAAAGCCGCAGAAGCCGACGCTATCAGGGCAGCGTTTTAAAACTAGAAAGAGAGGTAAGCGATCGGTGCTGTCGGTGCGTGGGCCCCCATGAAAAGCCCTTTTCTGACCACAAACCAGTGCTTTTACAGAGTTCTTCTCATAAGTGTTTTAAATGACCCCACACTAAATACCCAGTGTTGGTGCTAACTCTGGGTGCTGGAATGTGCTCTGCACTCGTAAAAAATATTTGGCAATAAGAGTTGTAGCTGAATTTGCTGTGATAACCTTGGCTTAAGGAACAGTGGGTGTAGAACTGCACTGAGTGTGTTTAGCCTGGAAGCAGAAGTGTCCAGTACCCCTGAGTTAGAGGGCAACTCCAGTGCAGGTTTGTTGCAGGTTAATGTGCAAGTCTAAGGAGCATCTAACCTGGTGAGAATTCCGGTGTTACCCACTGGATAGAGGTTACATTGTCCCCTGAGTGCTATAAGAATACCTAGTTTGAATTAAGAAACCAAATCCACAACCTCCCCACACACACACAGAATAAATCAAGCCCAAAAACACCCACAAAACACAACAACTCAAACCCCCAGAAACGCTCCCCCCACCACCAGCAAGCACAAACCCTCAGAGTGTGGGATGTGCAAGTGTCTATATCTGTATGTGCAGCTATTCCCATGAGAAGCATCAATGACTGAAGAGGTGTGATGAGAAATTTAGGATTTGTTGGTAGGTTTCTTAAGCCTAAAGAGGAAGCGGGGCAGCTCTTAGAGTTTGTTTAGCACTGTTTTACTAATGTACTAGCAGTGTTCCAGCTCAAACTGACACCATTAAGGATATGGTGTGCTATTTCAGCTGTATTACTGCGTCACTAATTAATTTGTCAGACAGAAGTCCAGGCTGACTTAAAGAACCTATTCTCATGGTGAAGTAAAAGCCCCTTGAGAAGCTGTTGCAGTGCGTTGAGCAGATGAAATGCTAGCATCCTGAGGTTCTGTCTCTCTTTAAGCGTTTAACCATAGTTTGGCTTCCAAGCAGCTCTGCAGTAACAGCCTCATGGATCTGTCCTCGACAAATAACAGATCCACTATTTCCAGACTTCCACCCATCTGTTCCCAACGTGTTGATACTTGCATTGAGTGCAAGGACACTAGTCTGCCCCTTACAGGAAGGCTGCTAACAGATGCTAACAAAACTGGCTGAGCTGTTACAGGCAGCACTCAAAGTAAGATGTGCAACTGAGTTCCGTTTTCCTTGGAAGCATACGGTTTGCATAGTCTAAGGACAGGTAGGTGAGTAGAGTTAAAGACCTCTTCCATTTAAGGTAAATTAATGATTATTACAAACAACTGTTCTTCGTGAAAGTACAGTAAGAATTCAAATAGAGGTAACTAAGGAGTGGTTTAGCTTTTTAGTCAAGCTTGACTGACTAGCGGGCTGAAAGCAGTAAAACTTCTTATTGCTATATTGGCCTTTGAAATTCACTTTAGGTTACATTGCTAAGTCACTATTAGTGCCAGTTAATACCAGTTGTCAGGCTTGTCAGTGCAAGTTTGGTTTTGTTTGGGTTTTTTGGGATGGTGTGGGTGCTTTGTGTTTTGGTTTGGGTTTTTTATTTAGAAATGACAAACTTAACAAACCCCAAGCAGTGGTGTGTGTGGCAACTTCACTTCAATGCTCTGTTCTTACAGATGAAAAAGAGAGGTTTGACCCTACTCAGTTCCAAGACTGTATTATTCAAGGTTTAACTGAAACTGGCACTGACTTGGAGGCAGTAGCAAAGTTTCTTGATGCTTCTGGTGCAAAACTTGACTATCGCCGCTATGCAGAAACGCTTTTTGACATCCTGGTGGCTGGTGGAATGCTGGGTAAGTTCCTTTGATGGGGCTGCTCTCAGCCTTTGTTCTCTTGACTCTACAAAAGCTCACTTTTCCTTTCAGTGTATAAAGTCTGCTAGAGCCCATTGAGTGTGTAGGGCAGGGTTTAAGCTATCTGCAATAACTATCTGACCATGTTAGTGACTGGCTAAGCAATTGGATTACTGTAAAAATACTCTGTTATACCCTACCTGCCACAGTTTGGCTTTCTTCTAAGTGCAGACTGTAAGAAATTTGGTCTAAAGGAAAATATATTACATTTTTTTTTTCCTACCAGGATTGGATCTTGATTCTCTGGTCAAGTTCATTTTTTATTTGAGATGGACAAATGCTGGTTTCAGTTGTGTGGTCTGTGATTGCAAGGTGAAAGGAGTTGCCCTGAAAGATTCTGATGTGATCCTGTGCTTTGTGCCCTGTTAATTTGGAAAGTAGTTTTGTTTGCAGAAGAATCTGATGTGCGTAGTCTTGGAAATGCTATTACAAATTGTTTGATGTTGACAGCAGTGAGGCCGTGGGCTCTAGCAGATGTGAGGGAGTGGGAAATGAGGGGGTGGTCAAGTCAGCAGAAAACAGGGAACCAAGGAAGTGAAATGTGATGACAGAAAGTCTTGTAAACTCTTGTGCACAATGCATGTAAAGAGCAAAGAGCGGGGCAGATGCTCACCAAACAGGTAAGAAGCGGGTGAAGCTAAATGAGGTTTAAAAGTAGTTCAAAAAAAAAGTGGTACTTCAGATTTAGACTTTACATTTCCTACTTGATTAATACTGTTCAGTGAGAAGGGGTTCAGATGGCAGGGACCCACTTAAAATACTGACTGCAAAGAAGACCCCTTATGTTGTCTGCCAAGACTAGAAAAGGTCTGTCCCTGGTTTTAGCATTTGTTATGCAATAATGGGGAGGGGGAGGACTTACATAGGTATTTCAGCAGTTACAGGTTTTAAGTAATGTAACAGAACTGGCTTGGATTACTTGAATGCATAGGGAAGGAGAGGAAATACCTGATTCTGAGCCACAGATGGACAGTGGATGGCAGTTCTGCAATGGGGGTGGCTGGTTTGGGAGGATGCATCTGTTGCCTGTTGGGGACAACTTCACACTGATACTTGCAGAAATGTTAGGAGAGTTGCTCAAATGCTGAAAAGCAAGGCTTTTGAAGTGGTTTAACTTCATGTGCCTGCGTATCCCAAAGCTTATCCCAGTGTTACACAGGCTGAAGTTACTGTGATGTTCTTGTTAGCAAGAAGCTCTTTTGCTGATGTTACAGGAGGTGATAGCATGAATAGGTAAACTTGTCTGCCACATGGAGCATCGCTACTTGAAATTGTTAATGTACAGATTGTTATGGTTTGTGGGTTCACATTCAAGAGTTAACCACTGCATGCTGTGTTAGGAAGTGTTCCTCCAAGGAATGTAGCGGGGGAGGGGGGGTATACGCATTGTGGCATTAATGGTGGTATTAGGGGTCCTTTATTCCACTCTTCTGTATAGACTAGGTTTAATCCTTAGTCATACAAGGCTGAAATAAAAACGGGCATCCTGTTGCCTCACCACCTTTTAATATTATTACTGTTAATGCTCCATGTTTTAAGTCATGTGTCTGACTAAAACATAACTAAAGGATTTCCCTTGTATGTAGGATGGCATAGAAATTAGTAATAAGGTATTCTGCCACTGGAGTTGGTGGCTTGAATTCACCCTAGTTACTGAGGCAGCCTGGCTAGCAGTCAAGTGCCTGTATTAAACTGAAGAGGAATGGTGAAGAAGCATCTTCTCATTAGGAGCTATAATGCTGAAGTGCCTTGCAAGACTAAAGAGGGGTGCAGAATTTTGAACATCTATGTTCCCTCTCCTGTTGTGACTTACTCTTGTTATTTAAAAGACACTTAGTTAGAAAGCAGCACTACTGTAGCAGACACTAGAAAGATACTTGCCAGGATTAAGCGGTCTTAGTGTTTTCCTTTAAGGGAAGAGGAGCTCATGTGGTCATGTTAACTTACCCATATGAAAAACAAGATGTGTTGCCAATCCGTTTAGCAGTAGGGGGTCAGAATATTTAAATGGACATCCATAAGCTACTGATTTTATAGTTCCACTAGAGCAGTGGAGCACATGGAAGTCTGCAGTGATGCAGTCATTCAGTTCATGAAAGGACAATGCATTGCATGTTAAGGGTATTGAAACTCTTACTGTGGCGAACTGCTGGGTACTCTCACTGGGGAGTAATACCACTAACCCAGAAAATCTTCTTTAGCCCCAGGTGGTACCCTGGCAGATGACATGACACGCACAAACGTCTGTGTATTTGCTGCACAGGAAGACCTAGAAACCATGCAAGCATTTGCTCAGGTGAGTTCTGTATTAAGCACAATTTAACTTACACTGTTCACTGGTCAAAAAGGAAATGTTTGTGCAGTTGAAAGTTTAGGTAAAAATAATGCATGGCTTTAAGAAGCTTGCTGGAAGAGGTAGAGTAGCACTGTTCTGTGCTAAAAGTGCTCTATAGAATTCGGACTGACTTTACTGAGCTTGGTTTTTCCTTTTCCTTTTTTTCTTAATTTCAATTAAATGATAGTCCAGAGCAAAAAATAATACTTTCTATATCTTCCTAGGTTTTTAACAAGCTAATCAGGCGTTACAAGTACCTGGAGAAAGGCTTTGAAGATGAAGTCAAAAAGGTATGGAGTAAGTCCTTAACAGCAAACAGATAAACTTTCGAATTCTAGTAGTTAATCACTCTGCAGAAGAGTTGTATCGTACAATGGATTATTGAAATAGAATACTTGTAAGTTGTTAATAGAAGAACAGCTACCTTGCATGACTAGTGGAGAAGACTGACAGCGAAGTAGTGCTTCTGATAGTTGAATAGCTTGATTGAAACAAAAATGTCTAACATGGAGGCAGGAGTCAGGCTTCAGTGAGAGATGGTAGTTTTATGGCAACTCTTCTTCTTCCCTCTTGCAGTTGCTGCTGTTCCTGAAAGGGTTTTCAGAGTCTGAGCGGAACAAACTGGCCATGCTGACAGGTATTCTGCTTGCCAACGGGACGCTTAATGCATCAATTCTCAACAGTCTCTACAATGAGAACTTGGTTAAAGAAGGTAAGTGTTGCCCAACTCTTACTTTAGGGAAGGATGGTGGGAGACAGAACCATGACAAGTTAAGCAGAAATTGCTTACAAGTTACAACTTACAAGTTAAGCAGTACACCCTTGCAGCTCACTAGCTTCATCTGATGATAGATTTACTAAAGGATTAGCAAAGGTAAATATGCTGCCTCACAACATGGAAGGTCTTGATAAGTCTTTTCAGAAAGCTTGTGTGTAGGATTTCCCTGTGTGATGCTGGGGTTGCCGTCACTGCTGTTGCCCAGCAAGGTAGTCCTGTGTTTTGGGGGCGGACCTTTCAGGATGCAGAAGGTGTGTTGTTTCTTTAGGCTTCTTCATAAATTACCGAAAGTAAATACATTTACAGAAAGTTAAGTTTTGTATAAGGAAGTCTTTGTGATGCTGAGTGGTAAGAGAAGTCCAGTGTGCCAGAGACTGCAGTATCCTTGGGCAGAGGTGATGTGGACTATGCTGGTTCTGCCTCTGAGTACAGAGGCTACTGCTTCAAGCAGGGCTCTGGCAAACTAGGCACCCTGTACTCTCAGGCCTTCTGATTCCCTTTGTTTCTAATGTCAATAGTAACAGTACTACTCCTATTGTACAGGTGTTTCTGCAGCTTTTGCAGTCAAGCTGTTCAAATCATGGATAAATGAGAAAGATATTAATGCAGTGGCTGTCAGTCTTCGTAAAGTCAATATGGATAACAGGCTGATGGTGAGTACCGCTGAAATCACTGAGTTACTACTTAAGCCAGTTTAGTGACTATCATTTACCAGCAAAGCACCCAACGCGCACTTTGTGAAAGAGTTGTTGTAAACTTTGCTTTCAGGAACTCTTCCCAGCCAACAAACAAAGTGTTGAACACTTTTCCAAGTACTTCACTGAAGCAGGACTGAAGGAACTTTCCGAGTATGTTCGGAACCAGCAGACCATAGGAGCTCGGAAAGAGCTGCAGAAAGAACTTCAGGAGCAGATGTCTCGGGGAGATCCGTTCAAGGATGTAAGTATTGGCTGTAGTCAAGGTGGGATGCTTTCTTTTTTCTTTTTTTCCTGTAGGAACTTAGCTCAAATTTTCTGAAACACAGCATCATTTAGCACTAATCTGAAGGTAAATGCCTAATTATATATTGAACATGGCTTTCGCTAAGAATGAAAATCCGGACCAGGGTGCTTTGGTACTAGCTTTGTGGTCTTTCCTTAATGTCCTGAATCTTGCTGTATGAATAGAGGGCTGTGTTTGGTTCTGAAGGTTTCTGTGTAGCGTTTAGAACAGAAGTTTTAATTTAGCTTAGTGTCATATGTGGCCTATGTGCTGACTCTTTCATTCTGACAGATAATCTTGTACGTAAAGGAGGAGATGAAGAAAAACAACATCTCAGAACAGACTGTGGTAGCCATAATCTGGTCAAGTGTAATGAGCACAGTGGAATGGAACAAAAAGGAGGAGCTGGTAGCAGAGCAAGCCATTAAGCACTTGAAGGTATTGCAGCTGAATATGGACTCTAGCACCTGTTGGGTAGGGCTGCATGAAATCAATCTAGTTTGGCAATAAACGTAAAGTGTTCCATGTGTGCTAATCTGTCATTCCTCTTGCAGCAATACAGCCCTCTACTTGCTGCCTTTACTACCCAAGGTCAGTCAGAGCTGACTCTTCTGTTGAAGATTCAGGAGTATTGTTATGACAATATTCATTTCATGAAGGCCTTCCAGAAAATAGTGGTGCTCTTCTATAAAGGTAAATGCTGTGGGGTTGTGGGTTTTGGCAGGGGAGGGAGGGTGGTTTTGTGTTTTTAAAGCCTGTATTTGCAGAATGCTTCAGTCCTGGTAAGATGTTTAGGGAAGATCAGTGCCACAGCATTGCACTTCTTGAGCTGAAGAATTTTCTGTCTTCTTTTCCAAAGATGGAAAAGTAAAATGTGAAGGTGGATGTGGCTGTCCTTGTCTAGAGGAGTACTTCCCCATGTGCCAAGGATGCTGCTTGTCTACTAGATGTTAAGAGTTGTGGTAGATCAAATTTACATTTTTCAGGCTCTTTGTCACCTTTAAGTTAGGGAAGGATACATGATAAATGTATTCTTAGCTTTTTGTCTGAACACTGACTGTGAACAGCCAGAGATTAAGACCACTCAGCTGTTCTGGGGTGCTCGATGCTGTTAAGAGGTGTTACTAAAAACCACACCGTGCACCTGTGGAAACACCACAGGAATATAAAGAAAGTTGTTGTTAAACTGAAAACTGTATTTGTAAAATTTAAGAATTGGCATCTGTTCTTAGCTGTTGACTGAAGTTTTTCTTAAGGGTGTTATCCCAAATAGCTACGAAATACTCCAGACTTGTAGTGATAGTGTGCTCCTCAGTGTGGTGCTGGGGAAACCCCCAGTGCAGTCAGTCTGAAATGTAAGGTTCTCAGAATATAAACCAGGAGGCACTCCTGGCACAAGTGTATCCAGGCATAGTCCTTCCCTGGGTATGTACTGTGATGCTTCTAGGGAAGGAAGCAAAGGCTGCCAACTGGGGCTTCTCAGCAGCTGCTGTTGAGTGGGTTGCTGTATTAATATTGCTCTTGCACATCTTACAGCTGAAGTTCTGAGTGAAGAACCCATCCTCAAGTGGTATAAAGATGCACATCTTGCAAAAGGAAAGAGTGTTTTTCTGGAGCAAATGAAAAAGTTTGTCGAATGGCTCAAGAATGCTGAAGAAGGTAACCAGCAGCTTAGCTCACAAGTAGAGCTTATTCATGTAGGGAACCTTAGTGCACTAATGCTTGTTTGTGAGGTGGGGTGGTTAATTGTCCCTCGGAGATGAGGTGTGTGCCCTGATACTGGCTGACAAAGCTTGCCAGCGCAACCCACATGGATCCAATAGCAGCTGTTACACAGGGCAGCAGCTGGATGTGGCAGCTAACCTGTGGGTAGCCTGTTGACAAGATCTCTCTGTTCCAGAGTCGGAATCTGAAGCTGAAGAGGGTGACTGACCTGTGAAACTCTGTCCTTGGCAAAGCAAACGGGAGCTGTAGATAAGTGTCATGTCTCATGTGTCCTTCTGATTCCTACATCCTACCTCCCTGTATCAAGCATGATATAAGGGCTCTCATGGCAATTTCTTTTAACTGTTTTATATAGTTATTGAGATACTGGATTTAGTTTTTAAAACCATGTTCTAAGTAGCTTACAGGAGCTGTTACAGATTTGACTCTAACCTGCATTTGTCCTTTCAGTTCTATTCTACCTCCTGTATTTTCTACTGTAATAATGTAATTTAAGGCCTTCCACAATGAAATCATTTTACTTTTTGGGTTTTCTGTCTATATTTGAGTACACATGATTATGGTGAATGAAATTTATGCCAGTTTTGTTTGTAAATGAACCTGACAGAAGCCTCTGAAGCCAGGAGGCTGTGGCTTGTGTGGTAGCTCGGTGTGACATGTCAGCCTGCACCATGTGAGCCAGATACCCTATTCACTGGTGGTTGTCCAGCTCCCCAGGGACTTTGTCACCTCTTCCCTATGCTTCCAGCGTAAAGCATTCCAGCTGCTGGATGAGGCAGCTGCCCCACTCCTGGGAAGGGAGTTCAGTGTCCTCCTGGAGAGGAGCTGTTACGGTGACAGTGAAGGGTAGTGCTGGAGGGGTATGATGAGTAGCATCTCTGAACCTGCTGCCTCTCACAGCTGGTGGCCTGCACACCTGATGGGTAGCACAGCCTGAGAGAGGTCTGGCTGCCTTACAGCTGGGCAGCAGCTCCTGGGGGAGCCTTACTGAGGCTCCCATGGCAGTCCAAGCAATACTGTTCCCCACACAGCCACCCAGCAGCTTTCTCGAGCCAGCCTCAAGCCAGCTTGCTTGAGTTGCTGTGTAAATGCATGAGTGCTGGAAGGTAAGGCAGAGAAAACTCTGTCCCCTCCCACTGAAATTTAGTGATTGTTTTATGTTGGCATTTGACATGCTAAACCAAACAGCTTATCTGCTCCGTGAAACTTTGCTTTCTTAATGGAATTTCTCAGGACAGCTCTTAATTCAAGAAAAATACTTGGTTAAAGAGTGAAGTCTGTACTGGTGTAAGCTAATAATGAGCATTAACTGAAATACTGGTAACCAGAGTACACCTATGACAAATAAAATGAAATGGAAAAAATGATCCCAAAGATCACTGATGTTTCATTCCGTAACTACAGTCATCTTCTCCCTCACTTTGTAACTTTTTTTTTTTTGAAACAAATAAAGGCCATCCTTACACTTAATGTCAAGGGCTGCAATTATCTACGTGGTAGAAGTGTGAGTGTCCACGATCCATTATTCACCGAGGAAATGCAGCCTGGTTCATCAGTTTTCTTTGAATAAGTTTTATTCCAGCAGCTGGATTCAACTGGAATATCCAAAAAGTCCTAGTATGAATCTACAAAAAATAGCAGAAATGCCCATAAAAAATAGCACATTTGCAAAAGAATTGTTCATGATTTAGCACAAGTATTTACACTGTTTTCTGTTTCTTCGCTGGAAGACCTCTCTCGGCATCCTCATCTGCAGGAGACCATGACCTTTTTTCCCGTTTCGGTGGGAAGAAGGAAGGATGTTTCAGCGCTGCTTCAAGTGTTAATAGGGGTCATACTCCAGCATCTTCCCAGTCAGATCAAAGAGGTTCTCCTGTGCTCAGCATTGCTGCAGGTCATGTGTTCCTTCAGGAAGAAAATGTCAGAACATGGGGCTTTTAATCCTAAAATTGCACCAGAAGTTCCTCTCCCCAGAGGAATCTCCCTTTGTCTTCTTAGCAGCAGTGGCTTACAGAGCCTAGAGAAGCGCTGACAGCATGAGTGTTTTCATTCCAGGCCAGCTGTTTCCAAGTGAAGTACCTGTGTTTCCTTAAACAGTTAGTCCTTAGACCACAGTTTGTTATTCAGAGATCCTGGTTTATCCCTTCACTAGAAGTTTACTGGCATGTAATTTCACAGCTTGTTAATAGAGCGTATTAAACCAGAGCTCAAAATACCTGTATTTATTAATCTATAGCAGTCCAGGTATGGAAAAATGTCCTTACCTGCTGTTCTGTACCGTGTGCCTTGGCAAAGGCCCCAGTACTCACTCCATCATTGCCGGGTGTTCTCTGCTGTTACAGGCCTGGAGGGAAATCAAGGTGGACATTTTTGTTCAGTGTTAGAAGGTGTCAGGAACTGTCCAGTAACCTTACTTTGGTTTTAACATTACCCTGCACCCCATAATCAGTTTCAAGCGAAGGAGAAAAGAGAGGCTGTAGGAGTCTGATTCCTCCAGTAGGTTACAGGGATCTGGATGGAGGTTTTTTCCTGTGACCCTTTTTTTATTCTTCCTTGTTCATAAATGTCAGGTTTTGGCAATAGTGTCAGGATGACAAAATTTGGGTACTGAGTAGTATTTGCTGATGAAGCTGTGTCTTACTAGTGTGGCTTGGAAATTACAAGTATTAACAGGGTGATCCTTGTGTCAAGCTGCTTGTAGGAGTCTTCCTACAGCTTCTGTTCTCTTCTGCTTGGTGTAACAGAGAAATGCAGTTTCATTTCTGAAGCCATTCCCTGCAGTCCCCACCTCCCTGTAGTGTATTTTCACCCAGCTGAGCAGCATTACGCATGCTGCATCATTTTGAGGTTCACAGTTACCTACCAGAAAGAGTATTTCCGACGCAGTATTCCATGAGAATGCAGCCTGTGCTCCAGACGTCACAAGGCTGTGACCATCCCAGTCCTGTGAAAAGATGCAGAAAGTTCATGTTTATACCTGATCACAGTATACAGTGCAGCAGCTCAAGCAGGATATGTACCACATCTAAAGCACGCTTCAATAGCATACAGTAAGTCTTAGGTTCATCTTTCACATAAGAGGCTTCTACTGACCTCGAATAAGCTCTGGAGCTGGGAATGCACTAGTAGTCACAACAGGGCTGTGGTACTCATCTTCATATGCTGTGTTCCCAAAGTCTGCAACTTTGATACCTGGAATTTTTAGCTGATGGTCATCACGTGTCTGAAATGAAACACAATGGGATACAAGTGGCCAAATGAACCCAGGCAGTGGGTGGGGGGAGGCGGGGAGAGGACAGCGACTTACCAGTTTGGGGTTATACTCTGCTGTGTAGTCAGGCCTCACAAATAAAATGTTTTCTGGATTCAGGTCTGTATGCGTCAGCTTTCGAAATGCAAGATAACCAATATAGTTAGCACATTTCACAAAAAGGTAACAGATACAGCAAAAAAGAAACATACAGTTCACAGACTGGCAAAGCTGGTATGTCACCTGGCTGATGTGCTCCAAGCTCAGCGGCTGAAAGCCAGGCTCTTTCATAAAGTCGAAGGTGCTGAGCCCCAGTAGCTCAAACAATGCAGACATGTCTGTGTACTCAAACCACTCCAACGTCTGGACACACTGAGTACAAAAGCAGGAAAATGCATGTGTTGCAGCAGGAGGGTTTGTAACCAGGAGATACAGACGCCACATGTTACAGAAGGTGATGGCACAGGAATCTCAAAGCAGAAGAAAGTGCAGGTGGCTTTGTGTACTATGTATTGTTGGGATCTGATGCATTTAAATGTTGCAGTACTCTTGTTTCTGCACAAGCCACTTCAGAGTACGTGTCAACATTTCTGACTGTTGTCACAGCAACATGTCTGAAAAGACAGGTTTTAACAGTTGGTAGAAAAATGAGGAGTTTCAAGTTGGAATGAGGTGATCTTTAAGGTCCCTTTCAACCCAAACCATTTCCATGATTCTAGAACGAAATTCAGTAATGATCACCATATATGTTGTTTACGGCAACGACAGCTTTATCAGAAAAGCTATTTTCTTTAAGTACATACTGACTTAATATAACCAGGGCTCATCTGTGCACAAACACAACTAAGGTCTACTCTTTCAATTGTGCAAACATACTTGATATATCTGTATTTTCTTAAAGGTTAAAGGCCCCATTTACTTCCCCTTTGTATTTATAGATGCTGGGCTACTACTGGGGAAACTTCCACATCTTGCAGCTTAACAAACAGGACCATCCGTCAAAAATGACACACCGCCTCCTGTTATTTTAGTAGTGAAAAAGTAACGGAGGGGTCAAGTGCCTTCTACAGCCACGAGAAAGACAATCTAGTTTCATACTCTGCACACAGCAAAACTGCCATCAAACACAAAACAGATTCTTGATTTATAAGATGCTTGCTGCTAGACCCCAAATCCAAGACCTTCCTTATTACACAGACCTGGGGTGGGTGGTGCAGGCCCCAGGACTGCCCCAGAATGGGGTTTCAACTTCATCCCACATCTCCCAGGTCACCTCCCCTGCCAGCCCTTGACCCCTCCCAGGCTGGAGCACCCATCACCTCATCCCCCAGTGCTGCACAACCCTCCTGTCAAGGCGCTGGGTTTAGCATGATGCACCAACAGACACTTGTGTTTGGGAACTGCAGCAGCAGCCTTAAGGAAGTACACACGGAGCAGCGAAAGAGGAAGCAAAGATACAACCTGGGATGATCAGAAAGCACTTAATGAACTACACTGTGAGTAGGAAAAATTACTTGTATTAAATACTTACTCTTCATGATCAACAGTGCATTCCATGACTCTTTCATAAGCACCATTGCCCAAAATAACAACAACCTCATCTATAAAGAAAAGAACTCTCACGGAAGTTGTGAAATTACTCAGCTATTAAAAAAAACCCAATAATACAAGCAAACAAAATTAACAAAAAGAGTATGTGCTATCACTGAGGCTATTATAGACTGTGCTTCCTTCAAACTGTAAATACCTAGTTTGAGAGATGGTAGTGGACAGTTCTTACCAAGGCACATTTACAGGGATCTCGTAGGTTCATCAACTTCATTTATTATTTTTTGGGGAGAGGGATTAAGTCCTACAGAAAAAGAACAATCCCCACCCTCAAACAACACAAGTTAAGGCAGAAAGACAAGACTGCCAAGGCCCCCTCACATCTTATGCTAAAAGAACTTACTCTGAGAAGTTAAACTTTGACAAATAGTCTATATACCTCTTGCACTCACTGCATCTCCTCTGACAGAGGTGGCCATTCACATCATCCTCTGGACTCCTGGCTGTTCTGCTTCAAGGACACACCTGGAACAGCACCAAGATTGTCCAGAAAAATACATAAACCTGCAAGATTAACCCATACTTCCCCTGCTGCGCACAAGTACTGCACACACAACAGTCCCAGCCAGCCCTCTCACCTCCCCTGTGCCTTACTGCAGCCCTCGCTCCACCAGCAGAGCTATCCAAACATTACACCAGAAACTGGGTCCTCCAAACCCGCATCAAACAATGAAACATCTCGTGTAATCTCATGCAGGTGGAAAAAGAGCATCTGTGGATAAAACAGTCCTGAAACACTACAACGGCCTATTTACATCAGTTCCCTAAAGCCCAATCATTTTTTAAATCTGGGAAGCGCTGAACTTTCTGAAACAATTCCACCTCTGATAAATGACCCTCCTCACGCTTAGTACTGTTGTTTTTGTTTCACCAACTGACCCTGTGCAATCAACACACAGCGTGTACATGACACATGCAACTTCGCCACCCTCCATAGATAATGCATCGTTAGGTTTTTGTCCATTGCCCTCCAGCTTGGTCTAAGCACTGCTCCCAACATGACAGACTTCTAACACAAACTTTACCTACTGTTTTCTGAATGCCAGCAAAGGCCAGAGACAATCTAGAATACACATGATGAGACCCTCCATCTCAGTCCTACTGTAAGACTGCTGTGTTAAGGGACACACTATATGCCTGAGTAGATATATTTCGACAGAGCTCCCTTGGTGGCTCTAGTGTTTGTGAGAAAAGACCAGACTGATGGGAGTAAACAGGAGTTTATAAAGCACAAGTCAACAACAACAAAACCAGCCAGTCTGCAATGTTTTTATTTAAAGGATTAGACACATCACAAAAGTCCAAACGCTGGTGACACAACAGCCGACGGTGCAAGAACTAAACTGCAAGTATGCCATACCCAGCAACTGCCAGAGAGCCACACATTTCCACAGCTGGGCTACTGCCTGCTCCCCGTCTTGCTTGCTCTTCAACAAGTCCAAAGGACTAACCCCACCATTTTCCTGTCGTATTCCAGGTTCTCAGAGAGAACCTGGGAGAGTTTCAGAGCCACAAACAGGAAAACAGACATAAGAGTTTTGAGAAGTTAGTATGCAATCCTGTCCCATAAAAATCACTCTCCTTTCAATACACAGCTTCACAGAAGAAAGAAAGAATCTAAATTTATCTTCCAGAGAGCCAACTGCTTGTTGTCCCTGCATTTCACACATCCGGTAAAACAGCCTTCTTCTTGTGGAGGGGAAAACAAACAAACAAACAAAAAACCAAAAAAAGAGACCTGAAATGGTTTCCAGTTCGGTGCTAGATGTCAGCATTTTAAATTATTGGTTCCTCTGCACCACAGGCAAGTTTCCAGCATGTTTTTCCTTCTGCATGACGGTACTGTCAGTCAAACATGCAGTTGCATGCTTTTGTCCACTTGCTATTACCACTGGAAGAGACAGAAAGAGCACAGAGCTAAAATAAATCCTTTACCTGACTGAAGCACTACAGTAAAATGTATTAAGTCAGGAGCAAGGGCTAGGAGCTTTAAGCAGCACTCCGTAAGGAACACAGAAACTTTGTCCCAGAGTACTGACTAACTCCACTCATTCCTGCCTCAGTAACCTGCACCTGGCATGCCTTTGCCTGTCTCTTGCAAGTCGTTTCTCCTCTTTATTTTAGGAGGCAAAGTCTCAAATAAGAAATAGCAGTCTGAAGCGGACTGCAAGTCAGCTACATCTGGACCTCTTAAGGATTACAAGGCATCAGAATAGACTTTGCCAAGTGATGTTGTCTGAGGCCAAAGAGGATCTGTCAGAACACCAGAATGGCAGGAGTTGGATGCAGGAACTCTAGATACTATCCCCTGGCCATGCACAGTTGGAACTACAAATATACCCTCTCCCCTCTACGTATTATACAGTCAGAGTGAACCTCTGTGGGAATTGATTTTTTCCTGCTTTACAAAAACAAAGTGATGCCAAAATGCGCTATTTAAATCTACAACAAGGAAGAGCAGAATACGGCTTTTCCCAGTATGCCCAAGGTGCAGAACTGCCTTTTTGATGTCTACAAATCATTCACTTTTCCCTGCTTAAGTCAGTTTATTTTATGCTTTCTGTACTGCCTTGAACACAGGATCAGCAATATACACACACCCCACATACGTATACATGCTTTTTTTCTTCCTTACCACTCACAGACCAGGGAATCTCAGTACCTTCTTGCAGAATTATCTGAGTCCAACAACATTTGGTCTCAAAGAAGACCAAACAACAGCTCTCTCATTTGTTCAACATCATCTTTGCAACAGGTATCTTTTATGATTTTAGGTGTATCTGGATATTTTTTATTAGAAGTCTGACCACAGCTTTTTTGTCACTACTCTTCTGTTGTGCTTACCCCGCTGCTTGTGCAATAAGGTGATATAAAACAAGTTACAGTTAACCCATGGTTACCTAGTTTTGACCAACAGCTGTGTAAAGATGCAAACGCGTACTCTTTCATACCAAAAGCATTGTGCCAGAGGCAAAACCGACTGGTTCCACAATCCACGCTTTGGGGAGGCTGAAGAGGTTACCATTTCAATGCAGCAAGACAAGAGCAAGCACTTCTCTAAACACGGTCTTTAATCCCCTAGGAGAGAAAGGTTTCATCTATCTACGTCACGGCTCTCACCTAGGGGAAAAAACAGTGTCTCTTACTCACTTTTCTAAATACCAAAGGAAGGCAGGCTAGAATTTACATGAGGAAGGGTCAAAAAACCATTAGCATGAAATTGTAGCAAAGGACACTGTTTCAACACAGTGTCACTAAGAAAATTAAGGCAGAAAAATATTTGCAAAAACCCCATATATTTTCACATCTTTATTTTACCAGTAGAAAAAGCAATGTTTAAAAATCAAAATCCTGGAAGATACTCTGGGAAAACTGGCTTCTAAAAACACCAGATTCCTCTGTGATAACACTTAAACAACATCACAGCTCCTGAAGATCCTGTGTTCGATGAGCAAAGGTATGATCCATCTCAGGTAGCCCTTCTGAAAGATACTTCAAACCCCATAATCCAGCAGTCAATCTGATCTGTCCCTACAGAATGTGTCAAAGCACTCTGCAGCTACAGAGCAAAAGGGTTGGCATGAATTGTAATGTCTTTAATGCGAACATCATTAAGAGGTCTGTAGGTTTTCTCATTCACAGGCAGCTTCTCCAGCTCATCCAGGGTCTCCAAGCCATCAATAACTCTGGAAGACAAGCAGAATTGCCAGGAATCACCTTCTATTAATGATTTAAGTTTCATAGAGATATCTCAAAGCACTTTACAGTTAAGTGTCACAGGGCAAGGACTTCAGAAGCAAATGATGTAAGTAACACAGCCAATACATTATGTATGGCACATAATGTCTTTTGAAAGGAAATGGTAAGCATCCATGACAGATTCTATACAAGTAATTCCCACTGACCCGACAGTATCATCATATTTTATACCAACCATAGCTGTGTAAAGACCCTGGCTGCACTTCCTGGTAGACAGGACTGACCTATCATAGTATAGGCTTAAACAGCAGCAAGACACTGGCCATACCAAACCTCACTGTGACTTCCTAAAATCCTATGGCTGGAAAATCGATTTCCAAATGTGAGATTATCACTTCTAACCTTATGAGTCGAAGACAAGATTGGACAGAATCGTTAACAACTGTGTAAATCTAATGACTCAAATAGATTTATGCCTTCAGATTTCCTGCTCCAGCTGCAGAAGTGTCAAGAGAGATTGCTCTAATATACCTCTTACTTTGCTGTCTAAAAAGCTCTGGTAAATCTTGGCAGGTTTTTTGTGCCCAGTCACAAATGGGTAGAAAACATGTGCTGTTCACAGTTCAATTCAGTCAGATGCATCACCTCTTTGAATCTAGGACACTGGACTGTGGACCAACAGGGACACATATGCTGTTCTGCTGGTACTGCAACTGGGGCAAGACTAGCAGTTCGTCTGGCAAAGTTCATCTGCCAGGGCTGCTACTCTTTTGTAAGAAAGAGGTCTAAAAAAACCTACCTTCAATCACACTTCTAAACGAACTCAGAAATTAAAAAAAAAAGCAAGACTTAAATGTCAATAAACATGGGGTAGAAAATATATTTTCACATTTCAGTAGTTTCCTTTAAATATTTAACTCCATTTAACAAAGACAACTTTTTCCTCAGCAGATTCACTTGTACACTAGAGAGTTTTAACAACAACCAGAAGAAAACACATTATCATGATTCTGAGATATAAAAAGCAGTGTCTGAAAGACTCAAGCAGTTGCTTTAAGGATGATATAGTACCAGTAGTCTATATTAACATCAGAATGTTTTAAAATAATGATGCACCTTAACCTCACCTGAGTTTACATACTGTCAGTTCCATAAATCTTAATCTGACCAACAAGAAGTTCCACCTAAACAGAAGCATTACCATGTCACTACCACACCCACCCCAGATCCAGTCCCAAATCAACTGTGTATTGGGTTCTTCTGAAGCTGGCTTAAAATAAGCCTGCATCTGTATGGGCAGCGATTAAAAGGCATGCTGGAATAACTCCCTCTGTGTGTGTGTGTGTGTCTGTCAGGGGGGAATCTCCATTCCTGAGGGAATTTTTAATACACCTCTTTCCACTGAATTCCCTACTACTAAGAAAAAGGGGACAGCATTTTGGAGCAACTAATTCTGCTGAAAGTAAAAGAACATACATTTAAATATACACATCCAATATTTTAAAGATTTTAGAACCAGATTTGCATTGCATGTGCCCTGAAATACTCAGATCCATCACAGACCACTATAGTGAGGAGGCACGCAGCTAGGTCACTTACTTGCCAAATACAGTGTACTTCATGTCAAGGTGCGGTTGCTTTCCGTAAGTGATGAAGAACTGTGATCCATTGGTATTCGGACCACTGTTTGCCATTGAAACCACCCCACGGACACTGTGCTGAAAGGGGAAAAAATTCCACATGAAACAAGCCTTGCTTTCACAGATGTGTAACATGTACAAAGTGCTCTGTGAATTAGGACTCTGCCTTAATACCATCATTAAAACCATATCTTGGTTGCTAAGATATTCCACCACAGTCCACATTTAGCTCCTCAAACTCTCTTACAAAGAAAAATTACTTCCTTGCCTTCAGTGTATGAAAAATACTTTGTCACATGTTTTTTCTTCTTCTGTTTTCAGTGATGAAAACCCTCAAACCTAATTTGCCAAGTACAGAAGTGCCTGTTCCTAGTTTAATAACAAGCTTTCTATCCCTCTATTGCAGGATTAGACTTTGTTTTACAATTACAAAAGAAGCATTTAATACAGCACAACACAATGCTGATCATTTTCCAACCTGTAAAGAAAATTTGGGATGAAAACATAACTGCATATTGGGAGCACAGAAATACCTTTAGGTATTCACTGAATTCATCTTCAAACTTCTTGCCCCAGATGCTGTTACCTCCTTTCCCAGTGCCTGACAAAGAAGCACCAAAAAAGATTACTGCAGTTTCAGATGGAAAAATCCCATAAATTATATACCATTCTTTTACAACATTTTACAACAAAAACAATAGCCCGTAATTTGTTTGAGGAAGACCCTGAATTCTCATGTCTTAATACAGAGCAGAGACAAGACACAGAAGGAACACCCATGACATAGCAGAACAAACCACTGATGTAGCCTCAAATTTAATTCAGTGTTATTACAAACAGGCACACACCTGAATCAGATTTTCTTCCAAACAGTTGACACTCCCTAGGACATTTTCCCCAAATGCTTTAAGGGCAGCATAGCTGGATCACCAGGAACACCTGGATCAACTAAAGTCTGTAGAATGCTTTGCTGCTGCACCATTATTTAGAACTAGTGTCGCAGCTGCTCTTTCTCATTTCTGGCTCACCACAGAAAGCTAATCCCATCAGAAATACCTCCATCAACAATACAGTATTCTTATATTTTAATTTACTGATGGTTTTAATATATATATAGTTATAAGGATGTTTTTTTTTTAACTTACATTTGCTTTTTATGTATCTTTTTCTATGGAGAGAACCGGACAGAAGAATTTACCTAATGGGTCCCCAGTCTGAACCATGAAGCCCTTTATATTCCGGTGAAATATACATCCATTGTAGTAGTTACTAGCACAAAGAGCCAGGAAATTCTAAAGAAATGAAACAAATACTATTAATAAACAATACAGAAATAGTATTCTCTTACTAAAACGACAGCATTGGGCACAGCAAGACCAACCCTTTTGCTCTGCTTTGCACTGTGACCACATGAATTCCACACACTATTGCCACAGAATAGCCATCAACGAATTATAGCAGATATGCTCTTTTGACAATGTCACAGATCAGAGCATTTAACGAAACACCTGACAGCAGAAGGTTGCCTGACTTGAGGAACAAATAAGCAGCCCCAGACATGCTCAGCAGTATCACTTTTGGCCAACATGTTTATTTTGTAAATCTAATTTTGTAATCAGTAACTTTGTGCCTCAGCTTTGTTAGTAGGTTAAAAAAAACTGATTTCAATCTAAGGTTAAGTTTACTGCAGAAAGCAAAACCGGGGGCCTCTGACAAACCAGGAACCAGTTCTCACTTTTAAAGTATTGCCTAATTTGTGTGAGTGCGAGCAAACCCAGGGAAATTGGGAATCCCAGGCCACATGTGGTACTTCCCGTTAAGGACAAAGGGCGCTCTGGGAGATGCTGGAACTTGGAGAACAGGGGCCTTTAGCTAAACTTTATCTGGTGAGTAACATCCAGCAGAACTCTATGCAGTGGGACACAGTGCACAGTTCCACGAATGGAACAGGCACTGTACCAGCTTAAAACATTAGGGGCTGCAACTAGATTAACTTTAAGGTCCCTTCCAACCCTAACCATTCTATGATTCTATTCCAGTATCTGAAAAGATGAACTGCAAAAGCCACTTCTCCTCCTTTACAAGCTTTGGTATTTCTACTGCTTTGTTTCAGCACCAGGCAATCCTGCTCCTGTAACTCGACTTACTTCACAAGTCTTTGGTGTACGCTCACAGAACAGTTCCACTTTAATATCTCCTACATCAGTATGCAGTGTGACGGCCTGAGCAAAAGGCAGAAAATAATAATTAAATCAGCAGTGAAACACTAACAGACTCAGTTTCATTTCCCAGTCCCACCAAGAACACAACCAAGTTCCCACAGCAAATAACCACTGTCTCAGGATTTGGCCACAGGCAAGGCTAATGTCACCAAGCTTCCACATTTCCAGGGAAATCACCAGAAAGCAGTTGGCTTCATTTAGTTTCAGGACAAATCAAGTTTGCCATCCTAATGCAGAAGCTCTCTTTCACACCACTACACTCCAGAGATACAATGTGTGTGTGCAAACTGGACCTACCCCGTCACTCAACTGCCAAGTTGAAGAATCTTTATTTCCTGATTTGCTCAACTTTAAAAAGCCTGCGAGTGTAGAAGGTTACACAGGCTCAAGCAGGAATACGTGCCTGCAACCCAAATAACACTCCTGTGATACAAACCCAACTAGATTATCAAATAATAGCCAAAGCAGGATTAAAATGTAGGATCTTAGAACCAAAAATGTAACTATATTTTATACTGATGTAAAGCGACCCATTTCCCTTTGCACAGTATCTCTTTGCAAATCTAAAATGAAAACCTAAACTTTTGGTTAGAAATTCTTCACAGCATCAGAATAAAACGTGCAGAGTAGCTACTCACTGACCAAGAGATGACTGTTTCAGAAAGAAAGAGAATATAAAAAAGCATTGCTGTTCTCACCATGTCGGCTCATCAAACAGCACGGGTAGATCTGCATACAGCAATTTCCTGCCAAGAAAACACAGAAAATTTGTTAAGGTTTTTTCCACCTTTTCCCAGCTCTATTGGATCTAAAATATCTGTGTGGTTCTATGATTTCACAGCACACAGTTTTACATTCAAGCAATTCTGTGGACAAATGTTCTATGTTACACAAGTGCGCAGCACATAACCAGAATTCTAGTTCTATTTATTTTTGTTCTACACTATCCTGTAGCATAGAACTAGAAAGGAGTATAACAAAATCGCTTAAAGAAAGGAGACGCTTTCCTAAGATGTATTCTTATACTAAGCAATCACAGCTGTCTCAAAGGTGATGGTTTTCTGAAGGTTTGAATTGAACAGCTAAAAGCTATACGCCGGTCCCTAAATAGAAGTGCGATTTGGAGCCGCCTTCCGACAGCCTGCAACAGACAAGCAGCTGCATACAAGCACAGCATCAAACTCGTTGCCTCATCAAGATTTCCAAAGAAAGCACTTGGTATTCTGCTAGCAAAACAGCAGTCGTGTAGGAACCAACAGCTCCACACGCTGGTTTCCTCTCCGTACTCTGCCGTCCCTGCCTGGCCCCAGGCTCTCTCATCGAACCCAGGAGACCCGCCAGCAGCGGCCTCGGGCCCTGCCTCCTTCAACTTCCCTCTTCACCCCTCTCACTCCGGTCTCCCTTCGCCCCGCCCGCCGCTCCATCGCCGCGACGTAGGGCCCAGCTCCTCCACAGCCGAGCGACCCGTTCGGGAGCGTCCGCAATCCCCACCGCAGAGCTCGGCCCTCCGCCGCCGCTCCGCCGCTTCACCCTCGCCCGGCCATACGGAGGCCTAGCACAAACCTGCCGAGGCTGGACCCCAGCCAGGCGCCCTATCGCCGGGAAGCGGCTCCCTCACGCAGGCAGGAACACTCCGGCCGCACCTCACCCCAGGCACGGCGCTGCTAAGAGGCTGTCCCTAACCCCCCAACGCAGGCTCCACAGCCCAGCCCCGGCCCACTGCGCTACAGTGAGGAGGGCGGAGCCTCGCGGCGCCAGTCGCAGGAAGCGGGGCCGCCGTTCTTCCGTCGCACCGTAAACGTTCTTGGCGCTGCGGTTTCAGCCGCTCGGTCACCTGGGCTTGTTCATGCCGGTTTTACCCTCTCTACAGATTGCTGCATGCTGCTGCCTGGCACGCAGCTGCTTCACCGCCCTCTGCGCTGCATCCGTGCTTTGGGACACCTGCCCTCACGCTCCCTCATGAATCTCGGCGAGCTGGTTTCAGCCCTGAATGACTTTGCATCCCTCTCTCTGGCTGAAAGCTGGGACAATGTGGGCTTGCTGGTGGAACCAAGTCCTCCTCACACTGTGAACACCCTCTTCCTCACTAACGATCTCACTGAGGAAGTGATGGAAGAGGCAGTGCAGAAGAAAGCAGACCTTATTCTTTCTTACCACCCTCCTGTATTCACACCACTCAAGCGAGTAACGTGGAAGACCTGGAAGGAACGGCTGGTTGTCCGAGCCCTGGAACACAGAATTGGGATTTACTCTCCGCATACAGCATACGATGCCATACCTCACGGAGTCAATGACTGGCTAGCAAAGGGACTTGGTGAGATTCTGTTAAACATTGTTAATCAGGATATGCTATATCGGGCTTTTCCTCGCTTTCCTTTCTTCCAGCTTTTACAGGTATGCTTTGGAGAGAGTTTTTTTGATTCCTTTATTAATCTTGAGTTCTTTTGAGTATCCCAGGTATACAGAACAGAGCTTGGTGAGGAAAACCAAACACAAACACTAGAGGAGCTTTTCAAATGCATGACTGTACTATTAAATGTTGTCAGAACTGGTGCAGAGTAGTGATCATCTTGGTTGCAAAGTTTAGAGCACTGGCTTTAAATCACCACCGTGAATTTGTAAAGGGCAAGATCTCGTTGTTTGCAAAAGATTTAGGGTATCGGAAATTCTTTCAGATACTTATTCTGTATCGAGGTTCATAAATGAAAACATTTCTGTCCTTTCCAGCCTGAATTTAAAACCAGAAACTATTTTGCTTTTGTATAGTTCTTAGGATAAAATGGATGGCCTTAAGAATGAATGAATTCTGTATCACAGCAGCTGCTTCGCACTTAAAATAGATTGTGCCTACTGGAGACAACCAGGCAGGAAGTCCTCAGCTTTGATCAGGGAAAATGGATTCCTGTGCAAAACTTGCACCTTTTTGTTGTATCTGTTTATCATATGTGCTAGATACATATTAGGATACTTGGCCAGCTTTCTAAGGCAGCAGTCTTGTACTGTTTTCTCAGGTGCTTGTACTTCTGTCCCGCTGCGTCCATCAACTGCGCCAAGCTGTCCAGCTGAGGGCACTCACCGGGTAGAATTCTGCACAGACAACACTGAGCATCTAGACACGGTGCTGTCCAAAATCAAAGATATCCAAGAGATCTCATGTCTCACTACTATCCCTGCCAGGTATCTGCTTCACTCTCTAATGTTATTCCTTCTGTTGTTTGAAAGAGTAAGTTGCTGGAATTGTATTTTACTGTCGTAATCTCTTTGCTCCTTTGTGCTTTGCTGCTAGTTTTTTTTTCAGCAACATATCTAGAAACTTAAGGGATAATGATCCCTTTCTGATCAATCTGTGTTCTACTACATGATAACAGTGACTCAGTATAGCATCACATAGGTTAGAGCTGGTAAAAATAAGCATTAATAAGAAACTTGAAGAGGACAGTTGAGTTAAATTCCTGTATCTGTTTCTTCCATGAGAGTAGACTAGACTGGGCTAGGCTATTACAATGCTTTCTTCTTTCATTTCTCTGTGGTAGAATAGCCATGGCGATAGAATAGCTTTGGTTTAAATTAATATGAAGCTGAAGTTCTGTCTAGTTTCTTAGAATGCACCAACCGTATCTTTCCTCAGGGTTGAAGGTGAGGAGCAAATAAGAGTCAGTTTGAACTGCTCTCAGAAAGCACTGTTGAAGGTGATGGCATTTTTGTCCCAGAACAGCCTTTGTGAGAGGACCGAGATTCTCTTATTACAAAAGGTAACAAATTAAATGTATTGCTTCTAGTGAATGTACTACTTGCATGCGCTGAGCACTCTAAACACTGAAATCCAGTAGTCAGTAGCATCATAGGTTTCCTTTGCTGTCCCGTCAGTGCTCTGAAATACTGGTCTGTGGGGATTTGAAGCCACACACGTTTTCCAGAGCAATGAAAACAGCTTGTGTGGCCTACACTAATGCTAGTTCAGTTTCATATCTGGTGTAGTTAGTAAGTTACATTCAAGAATACTACATACTAAGTTCTAGGCATTCCTGAGTGCCCAAGATACTCATCTGTGGACAACATGAAAAGTTCTGGTGTCAGCTTCCTTACAGTAATTTTAATTTCTTTTCAGCCTCTGCTTCCCCATACTGGAATGGGACGTCTGTGCACACTGAGCGAGCCAGTGTCCTTGTTGGACATAACTGAGCGTATCAAAAGCCACCTAAAATTACCACACATCCGCTTAGCCATGGGATTGGGCAAGACACTAGGTAAAAAGGCCTGCAAGTGAGACTATGTTAGCACTAGTGTTCCAGCAAGATAAGGAGTGTGAGTGTGAGCATGAGTGTGTGAAGTACCGCTGCCTTGGACAGTTTCACTTCCAGGTAGTATGAAGCACTGTTAGAAGACAAGAAGCAGCATTTTAGTAGTTAGGTGTGACGCAATCACACAAAAAGAATTTAATCTGTGTTTTTCACTTGGAAAGTCTAGATTATGCTGGATGTTACTGTGAAGAAGGGACAGCACAAGTTGAATATGAGACATCCTTTATAATAATTTGTGAAATAACTAAGATTTTTTCCCCCTGAGACGTAGGGCACACATGACTACCATTTCATTATACTCTCCCTTATGTGAATGTTAAATTTCAAAGCACCTTAAAATAATGAGACACTTCATGAACACGTAACCATCCACACTTTGATGAAAGAGAAAATGGCAAAGGTGAACTATCCTAGCTCAAACAGTGGGTCACACTAGTGGAGCAAGCATCCTCATGTCCCAATTACCTATCCAAATCTCCAAGAAGCACAGCTATTAGAATTTGTGAGAGCAAATTTATTGAGAACTCTTTGTAACTTATGGGAGAGAAGTCTTACTAGAAGACTCTTATACTATCAGTTGCATTAAACCCCCCCTGCACTATTTTGAAGCCTCTCATTATGGTGTGGGTTTGTAGTGGTGTGACCACAATTAAATTCCCTGGCATTGTCACACATGTAATAGCTTGGAATCATCAATCATAGCAAATGGGCAAATTTTTAATGGCATGGAGCAGCTCTTAGTCTGCACTGCAATAGTCTTTTGAGAGCTAAAAGTTAGAAAACAGTTATCTCAGAGGCAAAATCATTCCTTAGTGGCATCATTAGTTGGAAGACTAATGATGGTAGAATATGAGAGTCCTGGAAAGGGTACCAGCCTATTAAAGGGTTCAGAAATCTCACTAAATACCACCTCGATAGGAGAGAACTAGCCAGCAGCCAGCTTTCATGCTGTAGTTTTCCACAGTCCTTCCTACCCCTTGAAAGAAAAAAGAAAATCTACACATCCGTTTAGCACACAGAGGATTTTGCTGTGATATCAGAGATGTTAGAGGCCCGTGACTCTTTCAAACTGACAGATGTGTCTCTTTCACCAACAAATTTACTTTGACCCTAAAAGCAAGGTACAATTATTGTGAAACAATCAATAGCAATACTGATGTGAGAGCTGGACAGAAGGACACCGTTAATCTGTGACACCTTTATATCCTGCAGAATCACCAGTTAAGAAAACTGCTCTGTGTGCTGGTTCTGGGAGCAGTGTCCTGAAGGGAGTCAAAGCTGACCTCTATCTCACAGGTAAAAGATTATGTTTGTTACCTTTATAAGAATAGTCACTAGAAGAGAAGAAAGGAAAAAAAAAAGAGTTGACAGGCTGTTGAAAGATTCGGACATAATTGCCTGTAATAATTGAGAAAAAGCTATTGAAATGATAAAAGAATAACATTACAGTAGAAATAATGTGGATCAGATGGCTGTGAGGCATAGTGATGGTTATTTAAATTAAAACATTGCTATGCACACACTTCTTCAACACAGAATCAATGTTGATGGCAGTCTGCTACAACTTTCAGTGTGTTTCTCCTTTGGCAAGATGCAAAGCATTTCCTCAGTTCTTTACAGAATTCTCTAATGGAAAATGGAATATAGTGTAGTCTACAGAGTCTTGCAAAGGAGCTCCATAGTATATCTGACCAAAGGGACATGTAGTCCATTATCCTCTTTTCAAACAGTGGGATAGCTAATCCCTACACCTTGCTCAACAATGTGAAGTCTGCCTTCCACTCTTTAGTACGTAGTTCAAGCAAGTTCTTCGGTAAGGCATGCTCCATTTTGCCCTTAACACACAGTCCTGGAGAGCTGACCCTCAGACTTCTTCACAAGGCTTCTCAACTGCTCTGCTTGCATCACAGCAACCCACATGTCATCCAGACAGTCCACTTTCCAAATGACTCTTCATACTCTTTCCTGCCCAAATGGCAGAATCTATTCAAAGAGAGGAAGGAATTTCTGTTGTTGTCTTACTTGTATGTGGGGGTATCAGCTGAAAGTCCTTCAAGAGGCACTAAAGCAGGAGTGTTCCATGTTCTTACACTGAGCAGATGGTGTTACATTCCCCCCCTATGGGCTATATCCCCAGTTACATTTTCCCAGCTTCCAGCTAAGATTCTGTATACGTTGCAAAGAACTGGTTACCTAAACTGTACTGTTAGTGATGTACATGGCATTTCTTCCTCCAAATGGCAGGAGAGATGTCTCACCATGATGTTCTGGATGCAGTCGCCAATGGGATAAGTGTTATTCTGTGTGAGCACAGCAACACTGAGCGAGGCTTCTTGACAGAGCTGTGTGACATGCTAGCTATCCACCTACAGAACAAAGTCAACATAATCGTGTCTGAGAAAGACAGAGATCCCCTCAAGGTGGTATAAGGAAAAGAAAAAACAACAAAGGAGAGAATTCAGTCAAGAGTTTCATGATATCTTGTACAGACCAATCCAGTTGTAAGCTTAATGAAGATGCTCTAAATTCGTTCAGTACAGAATGATTGTATTATATGTTCTCTTAGAGTCTGAGATATATTTTGTCATCTGTCAAATAAATGCTTGGTTTGGACTACAGAAGGCTGATTTTAATTACTGGGCTCAATTAGCGGGCTGCACTTAAATAAATTTACTGTTATTGCATAGTCTACAACAAGATACTCAAGGATTGGTTTGGGTGAAATACAAAAACCTGACTTGTCTCCAGTTTTAAGCTTACACAGCAGTTCTACCCTACTGCAGTCATGTCAGTACAAGTCAATAGTATTTTAGCTAATAAATCTGATAGCAATTAATGAAAGGGTACATATCACCCATTTGCATTAGCAGTTTTATGAAGGCACCAGACACATACAAATATAGAACACAATTTGGGTATTTGGTACTAGTATTCAATTGCACAGTCTACCGTAAATGCAGATTTAAGGCTTTTTAATAGAGGGACTGTCAGTTGAAAAACTTTGTAATGCTAAAATTCAATTCCTTAACAAAGATGTAAACGAATTGAATGTGCTTTTGTTACTTCCTTTTAAAAGCAGTTTCTATAACTGTGGCTCTTAATTACAGAATTACTAAAACTGAACAAGTAGCCTTTCCACTGCTGATAAGCTTGGTTTTTATTTTGTAAGTTGGGGTTCTTGTTGTGGTCTATTTGTTCGTGTTCTTCTAAGAAAAAAAAATCTCCCAAGTGCATACCTTACCATCTCTGGATTATGTGCTTACCACAAGAGTATTTAAACAAAATGAAAATATTTCCATTGCAAGTTTGTAAAGATCTTGTTACCATCTTTTGGTTAATAAAACTCACTCATCAAGCTGCATCTTTACTGCCTAATTTTGTGTAACTTTGTCTAACTTAAGTGTAAGTGGGAAAAAGATGACTCCAGTATGATCTGAAGCTACTGAGACTATATAAAGGCCATTATTCTTATCAATACTAGGCAAACCTCTCACTAAGTTGAGAAAGTGGAAAGAAATGTTTTCTTTCCCAAGTAAAGGACTGTAGAAGTCATCCCTCTGAATCCAACAGTTCTGTATTGTTACAGAAGACATTCAAATGCTACTACCTTAATACATACAGAAAATTCAAGACAAAAAATTAATACATAGATAGGGTAATTGTCCAGAAACATGATGAAATCAGGATAAAATACTTTGGAACACAAAGCCCACAGGAATTAATTCACAGTAATTTTCTTTAGCTTGCATGCTTGTGACATGAGATCGGCAGCAGCCAAAAAGCCAGTTCAAATTCCATCTTCTCTTAGCAGATGTGTGGTACCTCCTACAAGCCAAAAGGAGGGCTGCATGGACATCTGGTAGTCTACCAAAACTGCTAGCAGGGAACTCTGAGTTCAGGATGATTTAGTGTTTCATTAAAGTAAATTTCACATCTAGAAAACCAGATATAATTGCACTGAAAATGCACCACAGTATCGCTTTCTGCAAACACATCAGGTGGCATCTTCCATGTGTACTCACTGAGTTTCATAGGAACTGTGGAGTCAAAGGACTGCACAGTTTCCCCTGTTGTGTCCCTGTCCCCCATCCCCGAGAACACATCTCTTCAAGTGGCAGAGTTCTTGAACTGTCCATTTGGTCTCAAACATTAGGTAAGACACAACGTTTTGATCCCAGCTGTAGTGATTCTGATGGTGGCCTAAGTAGTGACAGGCAGGATCTGACACATTTTGCGAAGTTTTGGAATTGCAGCCTGTAAAATGCAAATGCAAGTGCGACCAAAAGAGAACATCCATTGGAAAATGTTCTGGGGGAGGAAGCCAGACAGTACTGCTGGTATATGACAGTTTTCACCATCAGACTCCCCAGCAAAGCTGATTAGGTCATATGTTTGAAGAATCAATTTTTAGTCGGATAAGGAGACACCCTGTTTTCAATACACACAGAAGTCAGGCTGTAAAACCTGTCTGTCGGTGAGGGGTAGACCAGGTAACAATGTTACTCCATATAATAGAATCCTAGAACATGTTTTGGTTCTTTTCGAAAGCTATATACTGGTTTTAAAAGGTAATTAAATTATTTTTAATTTTGACACCTCTGACAACCAATATAAGGTATTTTTACTGATTGGCTTGAATTCTGCATGAGGATTGGAAGAGATATTTGACATAATAATGCAAATAAGGCTTTCACACAACTGCTACAAGTATCGCTATCTTCCTATAACATAAAAGGATTGTGGAAGACAAGACAAGCTAATGAAAATTAATAAAGTACTTTATTTGATTGAACTATTACAACACTGAGCTGTAACACAGCTACCAAATATGAGACACACAAAGTCCCTGAAGTCTGGCTGGCAGACTTCAGCTGATGGAACTATAGGGCTTACTCCCACGTACCTGAGAAAAAAAGTGAAGGAAAGCTGTCAAGCTTCATCAGTCTCCCAGCCTCTGAGGGCTTAAAAAAAGGGAGAGTTTATAAGTGGCACTTAAGGCCTCCCCCAGGATCAGCAGACTCTCCTGATATTAAAAAAAATACATATATACAATCAAGCTTTTTAAAAAACAGAAAAACTTAATAGCCTCTTCCTACTCCTGGATTTAAACTTGGAAAGCAGATGAAAGAAGCTGGATCCTCTCACCCTCCCCAAGAAGCAATGACTCAAGTCCATGACAGTTTTGATTATCTTGGGTTTGGGGCAAGTCCTTCAGTTCTATTGCCAGAGTTCAGTAAGTTACTCACAGTGTGTTCCAATCCCACTAGTCTCTCATGCAGTCAAAGGAGGATCTCTTAGCATTATAAATCTTGGCTTCTTCATACACTGGAAGCTAGTCTTGTCCAAATGGTAAAGGAGTACTGGAAAGCACTCAGTTGAGAAAAGTTGCACCACTGCTACAAACTAAAGCTCTGACCTAGAGATTTTCACTTCCCAAGTAAACTGCTCCAATCAAACCCTCATGGCTGGTGAGGTAAGAGCAGAAGGCACAATCTTACCAAGTTTGTTTTTCTGGCTGTAAGGGTGGCTGCATAGATATGAAGAAGGCATCATCTGAACTAAGAGACAACCCAGACAAATCTAAATACAGAGCAAGAGATGCCTCACTTACAAAAGTCAACATTTCAAACTACCTGAAGTAGTATAACAATGAGCATCATTCATTACAATTATTACATTTCAGTAAGTAGTCCAGCAGCCTTGGGGTTGGAGGGAGAGAGATCTGAGCATAGGCCCCTCTCCAGCAGCCCTCGAGAGCAATTGCCATAGATGCTTTGAGAACAGAGAGACGTTACACATCTTCATCCTCTTTCTCTAAGAAATCAGTCAAGGTACTGTCATCTACAGGAATAAGTAAGTATTCCACACCATCAGCTCCCTGCGGACAGACATACACATTCTGTTAACACCAGCGCACAATGCAATGCAAGCCACTAGAAAGCACTGCAGTGCCAATGTTTATTTGCAGTCTGGGTGAGAGCTGGCCAGCAGTCATGAGGACTACATTGCTAAAAACCAGGAATACTTCACTCGAGCAACATTGGAAATGTGCAAATACTGAGAAAGGTCAGTATACAAGAAATCTTCTGGTGGGCTATGCTAGTCTGACACTACACAGCTCCTCAACACTGTGTCCCCATATCTAGAACTACTATACTGCCTTATTATTAGGACTAGCTTGCATTCTTCTCTCATGCAAATACAGGTTAACTATTGGAAGCAGATTATCAGGTTCCAGAGTCTATTACTTCTCAAGGTTTTCAGGAAGAAGAGACCTGTAGGTTGCTGAGTAACCAAAGCACGCTGTATTTTTACAGCTCCCTATCCATGTAAAGGGTGTTGATGAATTGGAGACATGGAAAAGAGCTGCATTACAGAATGTCAGCCCTTTGCTGGTTACTAGATGCTTCAGATAGCACAGCCTCACTGCAAGCTGCAGAGTGGTGCCTTAGGGATACTTAGTAGCAAGTAAGCATCTTTTCTTTTTGTTTAAGGTGGCAGAATATCCAGAATCATTTTTTTCCCCCAACTCACCCGCTTGGTCCGGATGAGCTTGTGGTCCCTGAATTCTGTCAGCTGTGCCCTGAGTGTCAGGTCACTGTTCACAAGGAAAGCCTCCCGACACTGCTGGTAGAAGTCTTGGAAAGACAGTCCTGGAGATATAAAAAGGCAAGAACAAGAAACTGAAGTGGTAAGACTCACAGATTTTTTTGGGTAACAATAGTTTCCTGCTACAGATCTTGCTTTGGCTTAGACTGCACTGGCTACAGTAACATCACTTCTTTGAAGTATACAGCCAACCTCGTATTTCAGTAATCAATGGAAAAAAGGTGAATTAACATTTCAGTCACCCCGTTTGCCTAATGACATTTATTAGCACTTTAAATGCACTTCCCAACAAGGTTAATCGCTCTTAATTTCCAACTCTTCTATCTTACTTCCAACTATCTTCACTATTAATGTGATACTCATATCCCCTGCAGCACCTCTTAGAGACAGTGACAGAATATTCCATATGTACCTAGAAAGTAGGGACACATGAGAACTCATATAGCAGCACCTGAACAGAATCTCCTGCCTTTCCCTGGTCCTTTATGTGCTAGTTACACAAATTCATATTCTTCCTTTATTTTAATGCTTTAACTTCACAGTCCCCCCATGAATTGTCTCGTTCATGTCTAAACATCAAAACAGACACCAGTAAGAGGAGGTCCTTCAGAACCAGCCAGTCTACTGATTTCCTGTCATCCAGACACAGGACGACTAGAAAGAGTCTATGCCACTGAGTCTCACTGAGGTAGCAGTTACAGCATTTCTGTTGCTGGTGACATACACTGCGTATCAAAAGCCAGTGCTGCTATGACTGAGCTGACAATGGCAACATCCAAACAGATAGAAAAGGTGAGTACATACCTGGATAAGATGGGTTGTCTTTGTTCTCCAGCTGGTACCGAGCAAGCAATCTGAATATTCCCCTAAGAGATAGGAGGAAAGGGGAAAATCAAAAGGAAAAGAAAATGAACCCAAAAACCGAACCCAAACAAAACCAACAAGCACAACTCCCCCACCTCCCCCATCAGAAAATATTAACTTATTTTTCCCTCAAGTACAAAGTCCTGGT